GGCCGCTCTGGTGGAATATCCTCTTTCCTCAAGCAAGTCGTGATACGCCCATGTGTGTAGTTGAAACATAGTTGGGTTTCTGTGTGCTTGCTTGGTGTGTGGATGAATCAGTAGATTTGGCCACTTTGGAAGTTGTAGGATTGGATTTCCTATTTCTTGTATGAGGTTGGGGAACCACTCTCTCTGCTGGCCAGTAAGGCGCGACAAAAAAATCAGTTGTAACTTGTTTGTCATTTTGATTTTCTGTAATACCTTCGGTATTAGTGCTGGTGGAGGAACGCGTGCAGCCGCTTAGTCCTTCCCACGATATGCTCAAGGCCCGCTGCCCATGCTTGCGGATCTGGGACCGGAGAGACAAATGTTGGTAGTTGTTTGTTGTACTTGGTTGCGAACAAATCTACCAGTGGGGATCCTACTGTCCGAATGATGTCCTTGAATGCCTCTGGATGTAACATCCACTCCGTCGGTGACGGATTCATAGGACGGGATAGGGCGCCTGCTATCACATTTCTGGCCCGGAATGTGTGACGCTTTTATGTCGATGTTCAGGTTGTCTACTATGCTGAATAGTTGAAAGCTGAGGTCCAACATGCTCCTTGACCTTGTTGACCCTTGTTTGTTGATGTAGAACGCCACTGTGGAGTTGTCCGTATGGATCATCAGTTGAGCGTTCCTTAATATGCTGGACCAGTGTAGTAAGGCGTTTATGACTGCTTTCAACTCTAGCATGTTGATGTGTAGTTTTTGTTCCTGATTCGACCACTTCCCCGATGCCACTTTGTTGTTTAAGTGAGCTCCCCATCCTTGGTGGGACGCATCTGCGTAGAGATGAGTGTTGGATCCCGGCTCTGCTAAGTAGGTTCCTGCGCAGACATTCGACTTCTGTGTCCACCATAATATGTATGGTTTCAGTTCGTTCAGTAGGACGAATGGATCCAGGCTGTCTAGATGATTGTTCACAAACACTTGTAGAGGGCGCAAAAGTAATCTGCCTCTGCGTGTCATATCTTGCGCTGACGTGAGGAGACCGAGTAGACTCTGCCACTCTCGTAGTGGTAATGGAGAGAGTAGTGTTTGTGATATCATCTGTTGTATCTTGGTCCAATGGTCCTCCGGGACTAGTAGTCGATTCGTTGAAGTGACGATTCGTATTCCTAGGAATTTTAGATCCTGTGTAGGCTCCAATTCCGATTTGAGATGATTTACTAACCATCCTAGTTGAGTGAGCTTGATCGTAAATGTCAGTTGCTGTCTGAGTAGATTGGGATCTTGATGAGCTTGAATCCCGTCGTTGAGGTAAAACGAACTGCGTAGACTTTGATGATGTAGGTAACTGACGATGGGCTTTGTCACTCGAGTAAACAACCAGGGGGCCGACGATATTCCAAACGGTAGTTCCCTCCACTGGTAGTGACGTCCGTTGAACAGGAATCGTAGGTATTTCCTTGAGTCCTGATGTATTGGGATGTGAAGATATGCATCCTGTAGATCTATGCTGGTTAGATAATCTGACGGACGGATAATCTGTTTGAGTTGTGGAAGATGTACCATTTTGAATCTTGCGGCTTTCTTAGATAATCCTGGTTGAGGTGCAAGGAAACTCAACTGAAATATTCTCAACATCTGCAGGGGTTCGACAAGGCTGCATTCTCAGCCCAGTGTTATTTATATTATATATAAATGAACTTGTAACAGCCATGTATAGATCGTGTACAAGTGGAATATTCGTCACCCAAGATATTGAAGACTTGATGCTCCTACTTTTTGCGGATGACGTTGCGGTATTTTCATTTACTATCATCGGCTTACAGAGACAGCTAAACACACTGGAATCCTACTGCTCAGAATCAGGACTACAACTGAATTTTAACAAATCCAAGATTATAGTTTTTAGAAATGGTGGAAAACTGGCACAGAATGAAAAATGGACTTATAAAGGACTGTCTATCGAAACCGTCACCTATTACAAATACCTTGGACTTATCTTCTCATCAATGACTGGTATGGACAAAAGCATGTGACACTCTCGCACAACAAGCTAGTAAAGCATGCCTCGCAATAAATAGATTCCTACAGAAAAATAAAGAAGTAACGTTTTCAACTGCATGTTCGATATTCGACACTAAAGTTTTACCAATACTCCTCTATGGAGCAGAAGTGTGGGGATGCAAGTATTCAGCTTCAATTGAAAAAGTTCAGTTAAACTACTTTAAACACCTTCTCAAAGTTGGAAAATTTGCTTCAAACAAGGCAATTCTTGGCGACACTGGAAGACATTTGATTTATATATCAACACAAGTAAAGGCCATCAAGTACTGGATAAAAGTTCTACTGAATGACAACCGATCGCCACGCACACCAGTGTTACCAATGCTTAAATCACTGATGATGTAGGAAAAAGAAACTGGACCTCTAATATTAGAGAAACATTGTCCAAGATAGGATTCTCACATGTATGGATCGCACAGGATGTCGGAGATGTAAATAATTTCTTATCATGTTTAAAACAGCTACAAAGATATATCACACCAAAACTGGCATTATGAGATAAACAGTTCAAGTTTCCTTACCCACTCACGCTTCTTTCAAGTTTTCACTGGAAAGAGAATCATATATCACTTAACATGAGGAACAAACAACTAATAAGAGTCTACTTCAAATTTAGAGCTTCGCTAACAAACTTTAAGATAAACAAGCTAAGAACCAATAAAGACACAACGGCAATCAACCCCATCTGTGAACTTTGTAATCATAACCTTAATGAAGATGAGAACCATGTATTTTTTGTTTGTGATAAGTATAATCAAGCCAGAACTCTATATCTACAGAAGCTACAATCAGTCTACAGAGGCCCACTTACCATTCAGGCAATTTTTAGTCACAAAATAGTAATGTACAGCATCTAACAGCTATCTATCTCAATGAGATATTCAAAATAAGATCAATATGAAACTCAAATGTTTATGATCACGTGTAATCTAAATTGTATATGTCAACTGTATCATAGGCCTTATGGCCCAAATACTACTGAATAAACTTCTCTCTCTCTCTCCTGGTTGAACTTTTTCATGTTGTAAACCAGGCGGAACTTTTCCTTGGATTTTTTCTTTGGAACCAGAAAAATTGGGGAGTAGAAACCTGGTGTGACGATTTTTATTTCTTCGACTGCCTTCTTGTCGAGTAGAGTTGTAATGGCATCGAGTAGTTTCTCCTTCTGATCGGCAGCATAGTTGTACATCTGAGGAGTGCTTGTTAAAGGTGGAACTGCTTGCAGTTCTATCTTGTATCCTCTGTGTAGTATCTGGGATACATAATCGTCTTGTAGAATTCCCCAATTCTTCCAGTAAAGTTGAAGGCGTCCACCCACTGGATTTGCAGTCTGCGCAGATAGGCCGTCTGACTGTGTTGATATAGTTGCAGACGTCAGTGTAGAAAAAGACCTCGTCTTCTTTCTCGCCGGTACTTTAGGGATGAGGATCGGCGGCTCATTGTAAACGTCTGCTTCGTCCGATGGGTTGATATCTGTGGCGAAGGACCTCGTCTTCTTCGCTGCCCCCACTGACGTCTTGACTGTAGACTTGTCTGAAGACGGCTTAATCTTCGCAGCAGATGGCGTCCTGGTCTTCTTAGACTGCGACGAGGATTGTTGAGTCAAAGACGATCTTTTCCTAAGGCCGGAACCCTCATTTCTCTGCTCTGCAGACGTCACCGGCAGCACACTGGAATGATGTACCTCGACAGACAACAACCCACGGTTATTAACGCATTCACCCTGTTGGGACATGACTTGTAACTGCCGTCTCAATTTGTCCTTGGCACGTCTATGAACAGAATATAAATAATTACAAAATTCAATTTGAGATAAATGCTGACAAAGTTTACAGCGGAGGCTGGAAGAACATATAGAAGTGCAGTTAGGACATAGTAAATGCGGATCAGCAGCCCACAATCGAAACCTGCAAGAAATGCAAGTCTTCATGAAATGTAAACAAGTCTAGACATGTTGTAAACAACGTGAAAAACGGACAAATTTAGAATAAATTTCAACCCATATTGTTTCTTAAATCCTTGATAAAGCCCTTATACAGCCTAATTTAGTATAAAAGCCTAAAAATTCAAAGGATATATGCCGTATAGGGGACCCAGACGCTCTCACAACCGTCCACTAGGGCGAAGAAGGAGAGAGTGACAAGCATGGCTGATCATGTGACCTTTTTCGCGCCAAAAGATGGGCACAAGGGAGGCAACTGGGGTGAGTGATTTTATGTCCACATTTTTTTAAGGGAGTTTCAAAAGGGGATTCAAGTGTTCCACTATAGTTCGCAAGAAGAAGAAGACAAGCAATTAAGCATGAGTCAGGATAAATAAAAATTGTATATTTATAATACTTATTTTATCTCACAGTATTCACTTCTCTCTCTTACTCCGACCATGGAGTGGAAACGTGCTGTGAGCAGGGTTGGACAAAGTTTCTGGCCACTCTTCAACCTCTCGCCCGAACACCCCTCACCGCATCCCATTCATGGACACTTCAGCAGTCCCTGGAAGGCATGCAGGGCGCTCAGGCCGGTCACATGACACCCGTCTCGTCATTCTCTTTCTTGTCGCACATGAGTGTGGGCGTGTATGAGCTCTGTCTCTGTTTGCTGCTCTGCTTCGCTACATTATGGGGAAAAGTAATCGTTCCTCTAGGAAGAGGAAATATTGTGATAGATGCAAGAAAAACTTTTCTGTAGTTGATCCCCATTCGCTATGCGTTGATTGTATTCATCTGTGACGACTTTGCAGTCGGAAACAGAAAAGTAGCAGACAGAGACCAGAGGAGACTTCAGAGGGTCCCTCGACTTCCAAGAAATGCTAGGGGCTCAACTCTGCTTACAGCACGTTTCCACTCCATGGTCTAAGTAAGAGAGAGAAGTGCATAACATGTGTTAGGATAAATTTAAAATTTGTTTTGTCAGATGTTTGTCATTCTTCACACCAAGATATTGGTCTCTTACATTGCTACGCCTATCCAGTATGTTGCCAAGACGACTGAGCACATTTGATAATGTCCGCTTCTGTACATGGTCTTCTACAGCCTGACCCTCAGAACTCTCTTCTGATTGGCTACTGCTGTCCTCATTCCCTGCAAAATGAACAATATTCATTGTATTCAATAGAGCATAGATTCTTACTTGTATATTCTCTAACCAGTACCACTTAACAAACACTGCTGCAAACATAATTAATCAAATGATAATTGGCTAAATTCACAACAAAGAATGTCAATCACTATTAATGAGTTTAGGAATGATCAATTATTTTATCCTCATTAAATTTTTAAAGTATTAGGTAGTGATAATATTTAGGCAAAAACAACAGAATGAGAAGTCAGAAAATAAACAACAGTTTACCAACACCTGACACAGGTGCTGCTTGTTACCCTTAGCTGTTCCCAGGTTCCCTGCACCAGCAGATGAAGTTGAAGGGAAGATGGCTTCATCAGACACTCCAGAAGTCAGTGACACTTTAGAGGGAACCCGCTGCGATATCGGTATCGGCATGGAACCATTTCTCTCTACTGACGTCTCTCTGGATGAAGCTCTACTACCTGGTGTAGATGATCCACTGGAATTGTCCGAGTCATCTGGGACAAGAGAAAGAAGAATTAGAATTTCTGTTAATAAGAGTCATAAATGAATCAGTGAATGTTGTTCAACTATTGTCAGCTGTCACCAATTATCCAGTAACATAAGCACATAAATAATCATTTTTGTATATGGCTATGCAGTGACGGAAACAGAAAGCTTAAGTGGTTCTCACAATCTGATCTTCTCGTGTCTACTCTAACAACAAGTATTGGATTGTAAAAATTGAAAACAAAAGACATGCTTTTCCCATAGGACTTGGCAGGAATCTTTGTACATTGACATACATGATATGGGAAGAGTGAGCTTAGTTTTACACCACACTCAGCAATATTCCAGCTATATGGCGGAGGTTTATAAATAATCGAGTCTGGACCAGACAATCCAGTGATCAACAGCATGAGCATCGATCTATTCAGATACAATGACATGTGTCAACCAAGTCAACGAACCTGAAAACTCAATCCTGTTAGTTGCCTCTTACGACAAGCATGGGTACTGAAGATCAATTCTAAAACCTATTTAGAAAAACATTGTTACAACTGTCACAGGACATTTTCAGCAGCATAAAATGCATACACATATCCAAAGGAAGATCTCTTCTGAAAGAGAATGGGCAGTTTGGTGGCCTGAGATAGATGCATCTGTGATGCCACCAGACATAGCAGCAGCCCGACATTCACATGATACAAAGGATGATGAATGAGTGAGTGAGGGAGTTTAGTTTTACGCGGCACTCAGCAATATTCCAGCTATATGGCAGCGGTCTGTAAAAAACCGAGTCTGGACCAGACAATCCAGTGATCAACAGCTTGAGCATCAACCTGTGCAATTGGGAACCAATGATATGTGTCAACCAAGCCAGCAAGCCTAACCACCCGATCCTGTTAGTCGCCTCTTACGACAAGCATGGGTTACTGAAGGTTCATTCTAACCCGGACCTTCACGGGTTGGATGGTGTATGAACCAGTGGATGACATATTAACATATTCATGAAAAGGTAAGGACTGAACATATACTGTAAATCTCTACATCATATTCACACCTCTTGTTCGTTTGAGGAGTCGAGTAAAGAAGTTCCCTGCTGGCCTGACTTCTGAACTGAGCGGGCCAAATTCTGTGAGGCCAGTTGAAATATCTGAAGGCTTTCTTGTCCCCATCCTCTCCAAAACCTCCTCCACAAGATGCTCGTGCACTACAGGCACAACAGCACCTCCGCTCTCATTGCTGTCAGGATAAACAAACCTAAACAGAAGAGAAATCTATCATAGCATACTTTAATACTCCTTAACTCACTTAAAAAGGCTTAGATAAAGGATTCCTTAGCCTTCTATAAGCATACACAGTAAGTTCTTGGTGCCTTGAATATTGAGCAATCAATCAAATATATATATATATATAGTATGGAAACCTTTTGTAACCAATGTTATTCAGAATTAACAGTTGTTGCACATTAACAAGTGAGGTGGCAGGAATTGTTTTAAGCCGCCATATTACAGACATAATTAAGATTGGATCACATTCAGGATTGTTGTATCAATATCAGGAGATTTTTCAAAGAGAGGCAGCTACTGTATGTGGTATAGTCAAGACATTTCGACCATCACATATGATAGGGTTATCAATGAAAATGTAATTGTACAGAAAGCAGCCAAATGTTGGAGAGTTCCCATAACAACATTCAACCCGAGTCATCAGAAGATGTCCAAATCGTTTCCATGGAAATCAAGAGAAATATAAATGCCAAAAATCTGTAAATAGCAAAAGGCACCATTTCAAAATTTGCCTAATATATCTGCCAAGTTCTGCTGAAAGATACTGAACGCTTTTCGAGTGCACTGGAAATGAAGCCCACCCCTCCCTTTTGGGACTAAGTCCTAATCGTTTCCATTGAAACCAGGGAAAATAAATATGCCAAAAATCTGCCAAATAGCAAAAGGCACCACTTTGGTATCTGCCTCACATATCTGCCAAGTTTTGCTGAAAGATATTAAGAAGTTTTCCAGTTGTGCTCCGGAAATGAAACCCATCCTCCCTTTTTGAGACTAAGTCCGAATCGCTTCCATGGAAACAAAATAAAATATAAATGCCAAAAATCTGTAAACAGCAAAAGGCACCACTTCAAGGTCTGTCTCATATATCTCCCAAGTTTTGCTGAAAGATATTTAAGAAGTTTTCGAGTTGTGCTCCGGAAACGAAGCCCACCCCTCCCTTTTGGGACTAAGTCCGAATCATTTCCATGGAAACCGGGAAAAATATAAATGCCAAAAATCAGCAAATAGCAAAAGTTTTGTTGAAAAATATTGAATGGTTTTTTAGTTATGATCTGGAAACAAAATGATTATGGACGGATACATGCCCACCCCTCCCTCCCAAAAGATTTTTGGCATATTTATTTTCCCTGGTTTCAATGGAAACGATTAGGACTTATTCCCAAAAGGGAGGGGTGGGCATATATCCGTCCATAATCATTTGGGGGGATAAAAAGACTGTTAGAGATTGTGTTAACATTGACACTATTAACATGATTAACAAACAATGCTTCAGACAAGAATGAGAGTCAGTACTTGTTGAACACATCAACATCATGAACAAAATTTATACAGATGTAGCAGTATGTTTGTAAATAGTATATTGTTAGATTATAAAAGCATCATCACAGTAAACTTATATGAAGTAAATTAATTACCTAAGCCTAAATATTTAACATTTATTTTCCTTAAATAATGGTGTTAACTTCAGCACTTGCACAAATCTACTAACTCATAGGTAAGCTTTGATCGTTCAGCCTTTTCTTTCAGAAATGACTTATTTCCAAAAATGCACAAGTCAAATTCCCACTAACTTACGATTCTCACGTGCCATTGCATGAAAAATAATGCTTATAAAAAAACAAGAAAACCAAGTCATCAATATCCCCCGCAATGGCAAAATACTCTTCATGATTATGTCTACGAGTTATGATTATGTCAAGTATTTAGGTGTGTACATAGAAAAGTAGAAGGAGAGTATTGAAAGGTTTTGAAAGTTCTGCTCCAGAAAGGAGCACTATCACCAATTTCAGTCTAAGTCAAACTTGTTGCCATGGAAATGCCAAAAATATTTTATTCAGAAATCCAAAACTACTAAAAGGAACAAGTACACCACCAGATCTATCTATGTGCCAAGTTTGGTGAAGAAATAGTGAACAGTTTTAGAGTTCTGCTCTGGAAAAGAGCACAACCACCAATTTCAGTCTAAGTCAAACTTGTTGCCAAGGAAACACCAAAAATATTTCATTCAGAATTCATAACTACCAAAAGGCACCAGTACACAACCAGATCTATGTATGTGCCAAGTTTGGTGAAGAAACATTGAACGGTTTAAGAGTTCTGCTCCGGAAAAAAGCACTACCACTAATTTCAGTTTTAGTCAAACTTGTTGCCATGGAAATGACAAAAATATTTTATTCAGAATTCCAAAACTACCAAAAGGCACCAGTACACCGCCAGACCAATCTATGTGCCAAGTTTGGTGAAGAAATAGTGAACGGTTTTAGAGTTCTGCTCCGGAAAAGAGCACTACCACTAGTATCAGTCTAAGCCGAACTTGTTGCCATGGAAATGCCAAAAATATTTTATTCAGAAATCCAAAACTACTAAAAGGAACAAGTACACCACCAGATCTATCTATGTGCCAAGTTTGGTGAAGAAATAGTGAACAGTTTTAGAGTTCTGCTCTGGAAAAGAGCACAACCACCAATTTCAGTCTAAGTCAAACTTGTTGCCAAGGAAACACCAAAAATATTTCATTCAGAATTCATAACTACCAAAAGGCACCAGTACACAACCAGATCTATGTATGTGCCAAGTTTGGTGAAGAAACATTGAACGGTTTAAGAGTTCTGCTCCGGAAAAAAGCACTACCACTAATTTCAGTTTTAGTCAAACTTGTTGCCATGGAAATGACAAAAATATTTTATTCAGAATTCCAAAACTACCAAAAGGCACCAGTACACCGCCAGACCAATCTATGTGCCAAGTTTGGTGAAGAAATAGTGAACGGTTTTAGAGTTCTGCTCCCGGAAAAGAGCACTACCACTAGTATCAGTCTAAGCCGAACTTGTTGCCATGGAAATGCCAAAAATATTTTATTCAGAATTCCAAAACTACCAAAAGGTACCAGTACACCACCAGATCCATGTATGTGCCAAGTTGGGTGAAGACATATTGAACGGTTTTAGAGTTCTGCTCCAGAAAAGACAAATGTGCACGTACGGACGCACGGATGGAGTCCATTTTAATACACACCCACCCACACACCCACCCCCCGCGTTGCGGGGGATAAAAAGTGTAACATGTTTTATCTAAAGGGATTTGAGAAAGTGTATATAGAAATGAACTGTAATCTTAAAAGTATTATAAGTAATGTTATCTTGTGTCTATGTACTGCCTATTCCTTTGATGTTTAAGATTAAATCATGTATGTTTTAGGGCAGATCTGGACTACCATTCTTTCCAATTAATCCTTTGAACCCAACAAGTACTCCCCCTTGTCTTTGTAAGGATTAGAGTAGTGCTGGTACACAGATACAATTGACAAGCCAACCTCTACTCTCTTAACTCTAATTTTCTATCATGTTGGAAAGTGGTTCAGGTACAGAAACATAGAAAGAGATTAGGCACATGGCAAGCAGATAGCTATTGCTTCCAACAGTCCAAACTGTTCACAAAGCATAACTTCTACAAGGCCACAACAAATCTACAACCTTCATAATTAAAGTCTTTAAATGGATGTCCTTACAATGAAGCACATATCATCTCTCACACACAATCCATCATTTTGGATAGTTTTCATCCTCTGTGCAATTGTCATGTTTCTTCTGGGTTTGTTCATTAGATATCACCATATGGTTTTCGTTACAGTAATTGCATAGGCGCCTGACTCTGATATATTTATAAGTATGACCTATATATATAAGATATAAGATATATATAGGTCATACTTATAAATATATCAGAGTCGGGGCGCCTATGAGTAAATGCAGGCATCCACAATGTAATGTGTTATTTCATATTTACATCGCCATCAAAAACTGGTGATACCACTCTCTGATTACAATTAGCTTGGGTAGGCCTAGATGAAAATAATACTATTTAGGTTTCACACAAAGTGTAAACTGTATTATTTTTGTTTGGCTACATTATAACCTGTCAAATACTTCTAGCGGTAAGAGTTCCTCCCGTTCCCCCATCCCAAATAGATCTAATATGTATAAATATTCTAGAATTACAAACATAACTTAACACAACAATTACTAGAGAACTCACAAAATGATTAAAAGTCCAAAATTTAAGTGAGGGCTAGGTTTAGGTTTAGGTTTAGGTTTAGGGTTAGGTTTAGGTTTAGGGTTAGGTTTAGGGTTAGGGGTGTATGTTGACAGATCTGTAAGCGCTCTTTAAGTCCACTTTTGCTAGGTAACTGCCTGTCTTGATTATTTTGAGGGCATGTCTCAGGTCCATATACTCACACTGACAATCTACCATATAACTGTTCATACCTGTATTGTGCGGAACACTTCCATCGTGTATCAAACGAACATTACCATTGTCTTTAGGGATGGCACCCAAAGGGCTCACAATTGTGGGTTTGGAATTGGATATCACATAATTACCCAATGACAATTCTTCTTTAATCTGTTTTTCCGTTTCCTGACAATTTGTTAAAGCTGATTTATGATAATATGTAAACACTTGGCGTAAGGGAACGTTTTTAACTTCCGCTAATTTAAATCCATATTTCACACCTGACAAAATATATTCTCTATATGGGTCATCTTGTGGTAACATACTATTCCAAGCCTCATAATTTAGAGTGTTTATTGGGTTTGGTGAAAGTTTTTTTGATTCATGGTCAGCACTCCTACCCTCTGAATGACCACTGCTGTGGCCAGGAAGACATCTGAAAATAGGAGCACCTGCATTGTGTTGGTGGGCAGAATGACCTGTCATTTGACAGATACTGCATACATGTGCCAGTCTGCACCACTCCCCTTGCATACAACGACTGTAGTTGAATCGTCGACAAATTTCTCTACCGTCATTTGTGAACGGAACATGTGATCTCTGACGTCGATTTGTGTTGCTGTCACGTGCACGGTCCACTTGTTTCATAGCCCTCTCCATGCTTGAATTTTGTTTTGGCCGTAACTGAAAGTCACGTATTTCTTGATAAGGTGCTCCCCACTGAAATCCTTCAGCATATTGTCTCTCACGGTACTCATTATCATACAAAAGTACTCTGGCCCACTCGTACTTTGATGCTAATTGTGAGATGTCCTGCATGTATTTCAGGTACCCCATAACACCGGGCATGTCAAGTTCAGTGGCGTTTATCATGTCCTTTAGCACACCAATACTGGCGTAGGTCCACCTTTCTGGGGACAAGTTAGACAACTGACCCAAACACCTGATTCTTTGATGTTGTCAAGGCCTAATATAATGCCATTGCCAATACAAGCAGCTTTTCTGTCAATACTATCGAGGGAATCTACCCATGAGTAGTCCGTTAATTTCCTTAGTTTAGTATTCTTCTTACCCGAAACAGGTTCTGAAGCATGTGTATCGCCTGCACCCTGAGCCGCTTGACTGCCGTCGGCATCTCGCTGGCCGCCATTTTGTTTAGCTGCACCGCGTTGCCGCGTAGATTTACTAACATCCAACTCTTGTCTAAGGCGCTCCACTTCCTTCGCCAGAGTAACACGCTTAGCTTCCAACCTGAGACGTTTCATTTCTGTTTCTAATTCGCACATTCCGCTTCGAGGGCGTGTGTGCTCCGTTCCATGTCGTTGGCTGATGCATGATGCAATGGCGGGCTACCAGACGACATGGTTTGCCGAATCTGCGGTGAGAGAATGTCAGAAGACGTCCGTGGAGAAGGTTTTAGCGACTCGAGGGCTTCCAGCATCTTTAGTCCAGCTTTCTGGCATTTCGGTTTCACGTCGGTTTGCTCTGAAACCTCTCTTGATGACATTTTCAATACAAGTTATCACTGCTCCGTGATGTTGAAAGCCTGACGCCATGCGGGCGCTGATGCTAATATAAGGGAGATAACTGCAGCGACACTGTTGTAGAGGCAAGGGACGCTACTCGTACCATACCGTAATCAAAATCTATTTTACTCTGTAAAATATGACATTTACATCGCCATCAAAAACTGGTGACACCACTCTCTGATTACAATTAGCTTGGGTAGGCCTAGATGAAAATAATACTATTTAGGTTTCACACAAAGTGTAAACTGTATTATTTTTGTTTGGCTATATTATAACCTGTCAAATACTTCTAGCGGTAAGAGTTCCTCCCGTTCCCCCATCCCAAATAGATCTAATATGTATAAATATTCTAGAATTATAAACATAACTTAACACAACAATTACTAGAGAACTCACAAAATGATTAAAAGTCCAAAATTTAAGTGAGGGCTAGGTTTAGGGTTAGGGTTAGGGTTAGGGTTAGGTTTAGGTTTAGGGTTAGGTTTAGGGTTAGGGTTAGGGTTAGGGTTAGGTTTAGAGTTTGGTTTAGAGTTGGGGGAACGGAAGGAACTCTTTCCCTTCTAGCGTGAGTAGACCTTAAAGCAAGAAATGACACATCCGCAGAAAGGACAAGAATTAGTGGGTGGGTGGATGAGTGAGTGCATGGGATTGTGGTGAGTGAGTGAGTAAGTGACAAAGTGAGTGTCATACTGTCAATACTTCAACTTGAAGTTGAACGTTGTATGAGCAGTATGTCAGCCATACAAAGATCAGAGATTAGGTAATGAACAAATAAGCATGCGGCATTTAAACTGTCGTCTGGCCAAAATAATGAGGATCGAACTTACAGTCTATCTCGTCTATATTTACTTACGGTGACGATCATCCATGTTTACATTTACTTCCGGTACCTGAATCTCGTGATATACAAGATTATTTTCGAACAAAATAAGTCGGTCAGGACGTATATTTCAGTTGTAATTGGGAATATGTATTTTCAACCTATGTTAACAGTTCTGGTATTCAGTTCTGGTTTATGTTCAATACCATACGAAACTAACAAAGCTAACACTTCCGGTATTTCATGGCAGACGAAAATAATATTGAAGAAATAGAAAATAACAAATTTGGGGGTCCAGCATCTTATTGTAAATTGTCATTCGTCAGACTCAAGTTGCAGGGCTTGCCTTACGATTGTTTTGTATATTTCACACAGATATAAGTTTTTCTGTTGATGACGTATCAACCTAAGTTTGGCAACAGATGCCTGATGATGTTGCACAATTGAAGCAAGAGTGTTGAGAAGACAACGGAAGCAAGCAGCGAGAATTCAGAGATCCGCGTGAAGGTATATATTACTTTAGCTTCTCAACGTGGTGTCTGATTCGTGATATCTTTTAAATGTGTGAAAAATACTCAGTATAATAGGGTAACGAATAATACTGAGGCTAAGTTTACTTAGACTGGGGTCGTTTTCGGCACCCTAAACAAAGTCAAAATACATCTAAACGTACTCGGAACAGTAAACGGCAGACGAGTCCATATTCCTCAACCAGATCATGTTATAGTTCCCGTTCGTCTTAAAATTATTACTAGTGTATCACGAACTATTCATCAAAGTATATTCTCGTTTCTTATATCGAATGCAAATATTATGGTTCCAACTAAGAAATCGAATCGACGCGTCCTAGGGTACACGCGTTTCTGTATCCTGAATTGCTTGGGTACGTTTCTGTAGTACCCATCAACGCCTTGACTGTTACTGCATGTTACCACCCTGCAATTAATGAAAACAGTGAGCATTATGTACATACGAAAGCTATTTACCTTGTATTCTGTGTTTTCGGACACTTAAGAGACATTCCTTGCTATCTTTAAAATAAAATAGTATCTATCATGAATTTGGTACTACATGTATAGCTGTTTCCAATATAAGATGAGATAAGATAATTCTTTATTGTCCCAATGGAAATTTGTTTTGCATCATACGTTCTCCAGTTTCACAGTCTTTCATAAAGCAGCCATACATAACATTGCAATTGGTAATCATGAAACTATTGTTTAAAATAATCAGGATATAAATACATCAATTTAGTACACAAACATAGATATTGAATAGAATTTGGACAATTAAAAGACAAGTCATTCACTGAATTTGTTGTTAATGCATCTAATACTAGCTGGAACAAATGAATGGCGAACCCTGTTTGTTCTAATAGTCGGCTTATGCAGCCTGCGTCCAGAAGGTAATGATGAATATTCAGAAAAGAGTGTGAGTAGGATCACTTAAAATTTTGTTTGCCTTTTCTGAAATTTGCTGCTCATAACAACTGCCGATACTTTTGATAGGAAACCCAATAATTTTAGATGCAGTGTTTATGATTTTGAGAGTTTGTTTTTATTCTGGACAGACAGGTTCCCGAACCAACTCAAGAAATTAAAGGTTATGACACTTTGAATAAAGGTTTTGTAAAATAACATGATAGTTTGGTCGATTTTAAAATGTTTCAACTTCCACAAAAAATCCAAGCGTTGTATTTTCTCAGTGTTTTCGTTCCAATGGAGAATTGGCCTTCTGTATCACAGTATGCTTTGGTACTTGAGGTAATTGCCTGCTAAAGCTGGGATGGATAACACCAGTACCTCGGTCAGTGCTGCAGTTACCAGTACCTGGTCCTTGTATAACTAACCATGCTAGTGAATTTTGTACATTAAGTGTAGAAATTTTTCAAAAGATCTTTGTATGTCATACATGAGCTTCATGATGGTTAGTCTGTGGTGCCAAAATGATCATTAGGGTATTTCGTGTTGTATGATATCTAACCAGGCATATATGCTAAGATGAGAATATGATGTTTTCTTACAAGTTGTCAATGCCACTAAAATTCAGATTACTAGACCATTGGGGCATTTTGCTTTTGGGACATATTATTACATTGTTGAGAGTGTTGAGCATATCACATTACCAAACACTGCTTTGGACATCAGGTGCCATGATTGACCTTTTCAAAGGGAAGTAACCTAGGGTCATGGACAATAGAAAACATGGTAGCTGGGAATCATATTTCTTCCCTTCCAATCCCTATCCCATGCTCTTTACAAATTTAATGCAGTTTCCTAAAGCACCTGTTTATGTTTTTTGGTTCACAGTCAAACCATGGATGACTACTTTACAGAACGTCAGTTAAAGCTGATCCGTGATAAGTTGAATGCAGAGAAGATCAAGCTATGGTTGGCCCCATATACTTCGGAATCAGGAGAAAAAGGGGATGTTCCAAAGGTTAGAAAATTCTTTCAACTGGTCAACAGTTCATCCCAATCAATGGCTCAGACTGCAACTGTAGGCACGAGTCTGAGACTGGAGTCTGATAAGTTTACGTCAGTCCAAGGTTACATGGAAAACATGTATCAGCTGAATATGCAGATCTCAGTAAAGGATAAACATGCCAAGCTCAGTAAAGGATAAACATGCCAAGCTCAGTAAAGGATGAACATGCCAAGCTCAGTAGTTGAACATACCGATCTCAGAAGTTGAACATGCCAATCTCAGTAAAGGTTGAACATGCCTGTCTCAGTAAAGGATGAACATACTATTGTGTGTGGTACATCTATTGTTTGTGGTACATTATGTAACAGTTGGAGGCAGGTGATTTATGTTACTACATAAATATCAACTTATTTTATTTGATCTATATTGTAGGAACTGATTGACAGATATGCCAAAGATCTGGGACTTGCAGATACCGAAGTTGTTGAGTTGTTGGAATCTCTCAGACAACGTGCTCTTCAAAAACTTGCTGAACGAGACAAATTTCAGAAGGAAGGCATAGCGACTTTGAAAATGATTGTCACTGGCTGCCAAACAGAAGAGGTATGGGAAAGAGGATCCTTCTAGAATATGTAATATTCTGTATTGTTGAAAAAATGTTGTTTTTCCGTAAATACTAATGCCTCAATTTTATAAATTTGATACTCAGTTTTAATATCTATCTATTTTAACAGCCATTAAATGGTTTGTGTTTAGTGGGTTTTTTTTATGTATTAACAGTTTGGTATTCAAGTTTGACTTAGTTTTTTATTCAATCATGTTTTCCCTTCATATGATGATTGGACTAATGTTCTTGTGTCCTATTACATTTTATTTTCTACAGTATCCACATATTTATCAAGCTCCTGAAAAACTTCATCTGTTCATATGTCGATTTGCAGGGTTTGAGGAAGCAAGCTTATACAACAGAAATCCAATTAAGTTCTGATGGATCTGAGTTGCGGAAGAAGGTGGCACAAAAGTCCAGTGTTCCTATTGACCAGATCAAGCTCATCACCTGTGGTCGTGTCATTAAAGATAACGCTTCCTTACAAGAACAGAATGTTAAGGTGTGTACATGACATGGCAAAACTAATTTACCAAGGCATTAGGGCTGGGATGGGTAGGAAAAAATGGAATCGAGTACCCGCATGTACTTACTCGAATCGGAATCGAGTACCCTGAAATGTAAGGAATAAAACGCTTCTGTCAACTTTCTGAATATCCAATCACGAGTTGACAGAAATTTTGATAGAAAAACTTGAAATGATGTCAATAAGACACTGAAACTGAACATAGGATATTTATTTTACGTCTGTTTAACCAATATAGAGAGTAACACCATTGCCGCTGTTACTGTAACTTGACTCCTCACTGCTCATGCTCAGATATATTACAGTCGTTAATAATAACCTCCATTAATCGAACAATGCCAATGATGCAAATGTGTGTTAAGTCAATAATGAAAAAGACAATTTATTGTCTGCCCTTGCCATTACAGAGTTCTCTCCTTTTCCCGGTACTTGATTCCTAGAAATAGGACTCAATTCCAGCTGTACCCGACCCGGATTCGAGTACCCGTCCCAGCCCTACTAGGCATGAAAATGCAAGATTTTCTCAAGTGATGTGTTCCTAACACTTTTTAATGTAGAAATTCAGTAATGCTGTCTGCTGGGTATAACAGTTTCTGTCTCACAGAAAAAGTTTACTCTGTTTCAGTCATACATGTTTTCTTCATCAGAATGGATCCAAGGTGATGGCAGTGCGGCTATCTGTTGCTGAGGCAGAGGCACACAGGCAACAGAAGCAGGCCTCTAATGTTGCCAGAACGCGGGAAGCAGCAGAACTTCTCACATCCAAGATAGACTCGGGTTTGTCAAGTATATTGCTATTCTGCTGATGTTGTTGATGTTATGCTAATTTCTATGTAGACTTCTGTTAGTATTGGTACTGGGAAGATTTTATTTTATCATGTGCAGTTATATGTCTTCTGGGGTATTCTAATTTTGGATTGACCACAAGCTTTGTGACATCACCTTGGAGCAAGTGAGAAAGCTCTTTCCATTTGCACAAGTGAGGATGAGAAGAAAGAATGAGCTACAAGGAATTACTGTATATATTAGTCATAGATCGCCAGTGAGCCATTGTGTGAAATTGATGTTTTTTGTAGTATATTTGTTTCACTCTCAATTATACAAAAACAACATACAAACTGTAAGAAAGGTAGTTGTTTATGTATTCATTAACGATAACAATTGTATTTTGAAAAATGCCAGGTAAAAGAATGTTTGTTGAAGTGGGTGACACTAGTTTATGTAACATTACCACATTGATGGATGTACATGAATATTAATCAAGTTGCCGTTATTTATACATAAATCAGAATCCAGAATTATGTGATGTCTCATTCCATATCAGCACATGGATAATAGAATGAAATAATGAATGAAAAGTAATACCAGTAACAAATGAAAAGCTGAGTTATTTTCAGACAAATTGTAATCCCCAAGAGCATTACCTGACATTTAATCCTCAATCTGGCTTTAAATGTTGCAGAAGAAGATGACTTTGACATCCAAATTGCTGACCAGTCTGGGAAACCATTACAGCTGCCTCTGGAAGAGAAGAAGGTTTGTCAACAACCCTCTTGTGTATTTTGCCATATCATTTGAAAATAGTTTTCTGATATTGAACTGATATTGAAGTTATGTTAGACTAAACATTTAGCATGTATAATTGTTGATGGCATCACAAGGCTATTTCGCACTAGTCTACACAAGTCTACCATGTATCAGATGTATTGTTACATCATGTTTACTGCTTCACAAGTGTTTGTTGAGCATTATAATGTCCTAAAAATGATTGTGACATCATTGCTTTGCCTTTAATTTTATCTTGCTTATTAGTTACAAGCAACATTCTGAGGTGAATATTTGTAGGTGAGAACTCAGAAGTGTGTATATGTTAAAGTTACAATACACTTTGTCACTTCATTCTCATTTCGATCAACTTGACCAAATGACCAGTTATTGCTGTTGGAATGAGTTAATATATAATAGCATGCAGTGACCCTTTTTTTCCTGTACAAATCCAAGTGTCAGTATTATTGCTTATTTTACTTTTCAATCTTTGATGATGTTTACAGAGAATATTAGTCGTGTTGGCCTCGTTCATACAATGTTGTCTTGCTGTAGGCCCTGACCCTTGCTATGACACTGCATGAGAAGGGGCGTGCATCACTGAAGAATAAGGAGGTATCTCAAGCTTTGTTGTTGTTCCTGGAAGCTGACACTGAGTTTAGGTAAGTACCGGTAAACAAAGGCTTCATAGTTTCATACATTTGTTTACATGACCATTGAAGAAAATCTGGTGTACCATATGTTGGAAAAAGAGTCCACTCACATGTCTGAGTAGATATGTTACAGATGTGTGACATATATAATATTGGTAGGAGTATAAGTAAGAGTGCATGGAGTCATCCCACAGATGACATGCAGTGTACATGCCACAAACATGCCAGTTTATGTCCCCTCTGAGAGTGGTCTAGTTGTATTGTGTGTCTACTGCAGCAAGTGCAAGGCTGAACTACTGAATGCTGTTGACAACTATGCTGTACTGTGTCTGGATATCGTGTGGTGCTATCTCTGTCTCAAGAATGTGGATCAGCTTCCTGATGCAGGTACAAAATGTCATATCAGTTAAACCTTTGCAATGCAACTATAATACAGTCAGAGCTACAGATAACTTTTTGGGTCATTGAGTTATGTACTCGCTCGTGTTCATCTCGACTGGGTATCCTAATTTTCCTTTGAGTAAGCAAACAAATTGTACCCACCTTACTCAAACACATTTGGGTATTTTGCCATTAATTGTAAAAATATAATAAAATTTAAATGTTGGTTTACGTATGTGTTATTTATATTGATCTGTAAAATGATAAACGATAAGAAAGACTACAAGTTGCCAAGTTCATGTGCTGAAATAGAACCTCTCAGTATGCCTCAGTTATTTTATTTAACCACCGGTACACTAGTGAAGATTTGACATTTTGGTGTGTATGCATGTAAGATCAAATTTATTGAGTATTTTCAAAACTTCAAGCGTACTTGTACGCAATAGACTTAGTAGGAATTGAGTTTTCACATAAATATCTTGCGTAATTTACGCAGATAGGCAGCTTATCTGTACCTCTGATACAGGTCAAGATGAATGCACATCTTTAATAATCCCTCTGAACTGTTGTGTTTTACGAGAGATTTTTACAACCATTAAATGTGATGTGTTTTGTCATGCTGCTTTGCTTTCATCTTGTTCCTTTCTAGAATGGAGACTTGAACAGAGTGAAAAATGTTTCCTCCGAAGTTATGGTGCTAATAATGAGCGTCTGACAGCAGTGAAGGTACATGAGAATCAGCATAATTAATCATTCACAGCACACTTCTCAGTTTTAGTTAAAAATGTAAGTGAAAAGCCAGAAGGCTAATCCACAGAATGGAATTTCCATGGAAGAAAAATTAAACGGTTAAACAGTCTGCTATAGTCACCCTTTTGTAAGTCCAGTATATCTCCCCGTGCTGTTGTCAGTTTCCATCCATTTCTGAATAGTTCTCCCTCCACATAATGCTGTAGAAAGCCAAGTACCATGGGGTATGCAGTTCAGCCTTTTCAGGGGTGGAAATAACTTTAAAATTGATAGTGTACAGTGGCACATGTAAAGTCACTTGCCCTGATAATTTTTCCACTATAAGGATTATTTTCTTGCTGATTTTTAAATAAACAACATACTTAACATTGGAAAGTCAACTGGACACCAGTACAATGTGATATACAAATTTGCTTGCCCGACAGAGAAAAACACTGGACTCAGACGTCAGGCAATGGGTTATTTCCACCCCTGCTTTTGATGAAACCTGACACCATGTGTGTTCTTGCATCCTTCCAGTAGGGCTGTGCAATATTACCAGTAAACTGGTATATACTGGAACAGTATCTCGCGATACTGTTCAGATTCAGTGATCTATATTGGGCCATCCATAGTTAGCTCCCTTTGAATTATTTGCCCTTGATTTCCATTGCAACAAAATGTGCTCTAAAAGTGCCATTTATTTATTTTATTTCTGTTGGTTTCATGTAACATTTTACAAGTGGAAGTATCTTTATTAGTGGCTCCAAAAGAGCCAAATATTCTGCCAAGTTATGTGAGTTTGAATTGTTTCATAAAGGACATTTTGGAGGAATTAAGTGGCCTCAATGGACTAATTTGTTATTTGGACTGAGTGACCATTTCACATTATGTTTTTTTTTGTTAGTCTTATAAATTTTGTAGGACTGTATAATGACATTCTAGTCAAGGATCATTGGAGGTGACATGAGATTTTAAGCTCAAATATAATTCACCTAAATCATGTTTTTGTGTCATGTTGCAATAGTTCATGTCAACACAAGACATGTTTATATTGCAGCTGAATCTGAATCGCTGACATACCGTAACAATTACATACTGCATTGAAGTGCATTCTGTTGAAGCTGGCCATGTTTAATTGATCTGTAAACCATTGTCATACAACCACACACAAGGGGGAGCCTGAAAGTATGGTGTAACTAAGAAGATGTTGCACACACAGAGCTATTATGAATACACTTGGGCAGAAACCTTCCTGTCAATATATATGTATTGCAATATGAAACTCAAGGCAATATCCAGTCCTACCTTCCAGTAGGTGACATAGGATGTTTGTTCTAATTAAAGCTGGCACTGGTGTTGTACTTGGTGTCCGTTGATATGAGAAACAGGTATGGCAGAGGTGATTCCTGATGTTTCCAGCTTGTGTGAATCATATGACTGATATGATCGACACTGTGGCTCCCGTGTGGAGTAATGCTCTGGCCTTGACTCCCTCAATCATGATGTCTACTTCATTGGCATTTCCTACAAGTCTATCTGGTATATCTCTTTTCCTTTCTCTGGGGCGCTCAAAAATGCCTACAGGCTGCCCCTGCCAATAGGCCTTAGCAAGTTTAAAGCGCTACCTCATCTGAGGCAAGTATGCTGAGTGTGGCCGACTAATCCACATCTCCAACAAGTGAGTCCAGTCCTCCTCTGTTCTATAGTCCATATGACTTGTCCTTCAGTCCACTGTGGCCTATAAGTGTTGTAGTTGGCTTTATCTGACTAGCTACTGTGAGAATGTGGAGCCAGCAAAGGGAGGTAATACATGCATCTAGGGTATAGTGAAGATTTATCGGAACATATACATATATCCACATCTCCAACAAGTGAGTCCAGTCCTCCTGTTCTATAGTCCATATGACTTGTCCTTCAGTCCACGGTGGCCTATAAGTGTTGTAGTTGGCTTTATCTGACTGGCTACTGTGAGAATGTGGAGCCAGCAAAGGGAGGTAATACATGCATCTAGGGTATAGTGAAGATTTATCGGAACATATACATATATCGGGTGATACAGGATCAGACAATCACAAACCCAAACAAAATCACATGCACAAATACAAACAAGATGCAATATTCACAAAAGAACTCCAGTACTCAGTGAGGATCAACGACCAAAGAGGAATTGACTGCAAAATACTTCACATTCCTGAACTTACCAAATATATTGAAAAGAAATGACTTAAATAATGACACCTAATTATAGTTAGGTTTAAACTAACACAATTTATTACAGTCACTCAGTAACTAACTTATCTATGACATGTCAAGTTTTATTTCACATGTGAAGTGTAATCACATCTTTGTTACAACTAAGACATGATAAAGTTTATTGTACAATGAACAAGCACTTACAGTTTTTACTTGTCACTGTCTGACATTTCATATTCAAGGTAGTAATTACATTATACCATAGTAGACAAAGTACAGTATATGACTCTGACAGATATGGAGGCAGCACTACTCCATGACAAATGTGTAAGTGTACACAAACAATGATCATGAGTCCAGTCAGAAGTCAGTGGTAGCTGACGCACAAAGTTAGACGTGTTTACATGACCACGATTACAATATCACAATGTGACAAGTAGAGCTCTATAATAACACGTAAGCGAATATAACTGATCTCAGTGATGTGGCTCCTCACTCAGTCTCAAGTCAAGCTCCTCACTGGAGGCTCCATTTTGTAGAAGGGTAAGGGGTGGTACTCTTGAATGAAAACCAATGCCTGCTGAGGTGTGAGCTGGGACTTGTGCCACAAGTTTGTTACTCAACTATATATGTTTTGTTTTCACCCTGTAACATGATAAAAAAACAATCAATAAAACAGTTGTATCACATCTACATGTATAATTGTCTAGGACCATGCACGTTACAGTTACATGTGATTATATCTGTCACAATATACTCAATGTGATAAATATTACTTATACTGCATCAGTTCCAGTGATATGTAATAAATGCTGTTCACAAAAAGGATTATGTAGATTATACAGCAGCAAAATATTACAATTATAATCATGACACACCACACATTTGTGGCTTGTGGCAATAATATACATGAAATATAAACACAGTAAAAGGATAAATATCTACCAAATATATAGTACTCAGGTGAGTGAGCATCGTCTACCTTAACTGATGGTCAAACAGCATGTCCCATCTGTAAGTAATATTACAGGAATGATTTCCGTCCATAACCCCCATTTTTCTTTTATCATTCTGTGCCTAAGAATAGATGGTTTTTATCAAAAACCTAACCCTAAACATAAACATAACCCTAAACCGTAAACCCTCGAAATAATCCTAATAAATAGTATACATTTCAAGCGGGGGGTACAGGCAGAACTCTTACCATATAACATACCATTAAAGGGCCACTGATCCAGAGCGATATATGTTTCAAATTACGAAACCTAGCTGCAAACTCGTCAGCCCCTGCTCCCTCGACCGTGACGGACACGGGGACTGGGCTACTGTCCACCTTGGCAGAATTTCTTCAACCTACTCAGTGGGACATTAGGAAGGGTAGATGCCCATCAGATGCCGTTATTTGAAAATATCCCCTACAGTTCTTGTCTGATTGTAATAAAGTATCCCAGCAGTGTGGGCTTTTTCAGATTTTCAAATGTTTGGATGGTATAGTGTCTGATCCATTTTTTTTTCCTATTTCTGTGTTTTTTACCTCAATATTTAATCATGTAAAAATATGATGTCTATTACGTATGCTATGATATAAAAAAACACATTTGATATATTTGAATCCATAAACTAAACAACCCCACTTTGCCGTTGCTAAAAAAATCTGAAATTTTACTAAGGTATATACAGTTTTTAACTAAGTACACAGCAAATGCTTATATATGTTTCTTATGTAACAATAAAGTTCGATCCGTTCTAATCCTCAAAACAGTATCGGCCCATAAGTTGTTGTTTTTTCAGACATTCAGACATTTAAACTTGCATGCAATACAGCGATTACTACTCTCTTGCTAACATATGGTATATTTGGGATTACGCTTTCTTAGTAAAGTACAAATTCTAGTACTTTTGGAGTTGAGCCCCATCCAGGATTCAAACTCACCCTCAGAGTCAGGCACTTAATCGCAGGCACACAAAGTCAGCTGCCTAACCCGCTCAGCTACCTCGACTTCCACAAAAATGGAAGTCGGACAACTGGTAGTCTAGACTGCGGGCTTTGTGTACCCCTCTGATAAGTGTTAATTGGCACGGCTCCCACGGCCGAAAGCTATGATTACACAATGCCATTAAGAAAGTGGTCAAATGTAACATATGTTATATTTGGGATTACACTTTCTTAGTATCAGAGGGGTACACAAAGCCCGCAGTCTAGACTACCAGTTGTCAGACTTCCGTTTTTGTGGAAGTCGCGGTTGCTCAGCGGGTTAGGCGGCTGACTTTTAGTGCTGGCAATTAGGTGCCTGACTCTGAGGGTGTGAGTTCAAATCCCGGATGGGGCTAGAATTTGTACTTTACTAAGAAAGTGTAATCCCAAATATAACATTGGTTAAATTTGACCACTTTCTAAATGGCATTGTGTAATCATACTCTCTTGCTGTAACCCTTGTTCGGTGGCAAACCTACACATGTTATTTGTCATCATTCACTTCATGGTCAGTTAATGAATTTATAACAGGTATAATTAGTGATAACACCACTCAGATTACTCGACAAAGGTTCCCATTTGGCATTTCTTGTGTCTGGAGTAAATACTCATCATTATAAATTGAGGTCTGATGTGGCAAATGCATTACATCTTATGTAATACGCACATGGAAGTGCAGCAAGAGGAATTATCAGCTTCAGTTTCAAAACAGACATTGATCAAAGGATTAACCGATAACACGCTGATTGATTAATTGCTTTTATCCTGCACAGTGGATTTTACAAAAGGTGTTTATGTATGTTGATTTACTAATCCATACTGAATACACCTTGTCGTAAAGTCTCTTTGTAAAAACAAAGTCCTTCCTTCAAGGGATTAACCACCAATACATTGACTGATTGGTCATTATTGGCTACTTAATTACTTTTTTAAAGAATGGCGGACATCATGCAATTAGTTGCCAGGTGTGCTATCTGGAGTGACCAATGGGATACACCAATGTGAAAAACCTGAAACGATATCTCACTTTTTCGCATATTAGACTGTTAAGAGACACATGACATGGAACAGGATTCTTTGTCAGCTGCAGATGAATGGCATCTCATTCCTTTTTGTGGATATTGATGGATACATTTCCTGAAAAAGGTAATAGCCTGATATTGTTGCTATAACGTTGGTGTGTTTTAATTTTAATATTTGCATTTTGTTTTAATTTATTTGTTATGGCATTCAACAGAATCATTTTATTTTTTTTGACGTGAAGTGTAATGAGACAGACACCATACACTCGGTCGCACTTAGGGCGTGTGTGTGAAATATGATTCACGTTGGCAATCTATAAGATGTCTAGATATTACAGTCATGTTATAAATTCACTAAGTATAGGCAGATTGTGTGTATTTTATTAAATTTCAAACTGCATACAAATATGACAATAAACTAATTAGGATTATAAAACTAAATATAAAGATGTACATTGACTTAGTTACATGTATTTCAGTCCTAACATTTTTTACCACTGGCAGATGGTTAAACTTAAAATGTTTTCATTTGTTATCACAACAATGCAATTTAATACAACATTCAGATTGACTAGTAGTTAACCCAAGCTCACTACTCTCCCCAAGACTCTCCATGTACTTAGTTAGCCTTACTTTCAAACAATGCTATTATATCAGGCTTCTCACCAAATTCAAGGTCAAACTATTTTTTTAAATCAAATTCTACATCCATTTACGTTAACATTTTTATAAAGTCAACATTACTATGAAATCAAAATTTTACATCAAAATCAGCATTTTTATTAAAGTGAATATTTTGGTTTTTAAGAAACCAAATTATTCACCACAGTCTACATAATTTTACAACAAAATCAAGATTATCGAGTGAAAAAGATTTCATCTTTGTTGATCAGTCTACGCTTAGGTAAGAGTTCCTCCCGTTCCCCATCCCAAATAATATTTATAAATATATAGAGAATCTCACCCAAGTGTCTTCTGATATCAATTATATCAACACGAGTTGATAAAGTTACAAATATCCGAGGCTTGCCGAGGATATTTTTACTTTTATCAACGAGTGTTGATATATATGATATCAGAAGACACGAGGGTGAGATTCTATTTATCATCCAAAATCACTCTTCATTAATTTTCAATGAAAAATGTACATCTCTGAACATGGTGCTGCCATTAGACTTGCAGTGCAGCGATGTCATAGCATTGTGACATCATCAAGTACATGACGTCATAGCATTGTCAGGGCATTGTACAAAATCTACTGTCAAAACGATATCTCCTAGGAGATATCGTTTGATCTCACACAAAGCGATATCTCCTGTGGAACACAGTTTTGGATGATAAACTAAATTATTAACAAAACTTAACACAAAAATTACTAGAGAACTCACAAAATGACTAAAAGTCCAATATTTAAGTTAGGGTTAGGTTTAGTGTTAAGTTTTAGGTTTAGAGTTAGGTTTAGGGGTGGGGGAACGGAAGGAACTCTTTCCCTATGGTTATACTATCAGTTTCGCATGAGGGTGGTGCAGCAGCGGTAACAAACCAGTCATGAATTCTGGGATATCATCCGGGTACTCACTGGAGAAAATCAATAAAAAAAGCAACAACCAGGCCACGGAAATTGTTCTGGATCAGTGGCCCTTTAAGTATATTGTGCTTACCTATTCTGTCATAATGAAACATATATCACTCTATAAAACAAACCTGCATGATTAATATGTGAGATCCTTACAAATATATACAATAAACAGTTATGAAAATAATATATGATTTCAAATGTCACAAACATTCAAAGATGGCTGCTGAGCAGGCACAAATGCTTATGTGTCACTTGCAAGAAACGTTGCTACAAGCTGCATGGGAGGTCTGTCTTCCACATGCACATGCAACTTGTGTTTAGGTGTTTGAATCAAACAAGGTGCTGGTGTGTTTCAGCACCCTTGTTTTTTGTTGTTTTTGACAATGTTTCATTTCACTCAAACTTAACGAATATTGAATCAGATAGCATGTTCCAACATGTCGTTTAAAGTGCCCATTAGGCACACAAAAAGATGCATTTACCTTAGAGTATAAATGACCTCACCACATGTAAGTTTATATATGTCTATCAAATTTTAGGATGTTCCCATACTTTTTGTTTGTAGTATATGTTACTAGTAAACTTATCATAATAATGCTGATGTAGTAAACATGAAATCATATCTATAATCATTATTCAACACTAATCTCAAAATACATTTATACCTTCAAATCACAATAATTTAACCTAAGCAAGAATGGTGTTTATAATATAACTATACTTAACAAATATTAGATCCTACATAATATGTGTTATAACTAACCTTGAACAGAGTGTAGTTGTAGACCAAAAGGAGAAATCAGACGTCCATCAAAATGTCACATCATATGTTTCAGGTACCTTTCTCGTGCGGCTGTATGTGGTAGACTCATTTAAAATGTGCTCATGCTAGTGAAGAAAAATAGACAACGTTAAACTGACCAATAAGAGATCATGGAATAGCTTGCCCTCTGAGTGAGGAACAAAAGAACACCCTTCTCTCCCACAATAGAACCCAGGTTCAGCTTGGGACAATCAAGTTGGAGACAAATACCATACATGATCAAATAAAAAGCTAATCCAATAAAACTACCACAACCAAACTGTTTAAAAACAATACCGTATTTACATAAATAAACATAGGTAATGTTAAAATATGACACTGACACAAGTATATCTACCCATGCTGTAGGTACCCTGTTGTAAGTCAAGTATATCTCCCCATGCTGTAGTCACCCTGTTGTAAGTCCAGTATATCTCCCCATGCTGTTGTCACCCTGTTGTGAGTCCAGTATATCTCCCCATGCTGTTGTCACCCTGTTGTAAGTCCAGTATATCTCCCCATGCTGTGGGTCACCCTGTTGTAAGTCCAGTATATCTCCCCATGCTGTTGTCACCCTGTTGTAAGTCCAGTATATCTCACCATGCTGTAGTCACCCTGTTGTGAGTCCAGTATATCTCCCCATGCTGTTGTCACCCTGTTGTGAGTCCAGTATATCTCCCCATGCTGTAGTCACCCTGTTGTAAGTCCAGTATATCTCCCCATGCTGTAGTCACCCTGTTGTGAGTCCAGTATATCTCCCCATGCTGTAGTCACCCTGTTGTAAGTCCAGTATATCTCCCCATGCTGTAGTCACCCTGTTGTAAGTCCAGTATATCTCCCCATGCTGTAGTCACCCTGTTGTGAGTCCAGTATATCTCCCCATGCTGTAGTCACCCTGTTGTAAGTCCAGTATATCTCCCCATGCTGTAGTCACCCTGTTGTAAGTCCAGTACCGGTATATCTCCCCATGCTGTAGTCACCCTGTTGTAAGTCCAGTATATCTCCCCATGCTGTTGTCACCCAGTTGTAAGTCCAGTATATCTCCCTATGCTGTAGTCACCCTGTTGTGAGTCCAGTATATCTCCCAATGCTGCAGTCACCCTGTTGTAAATCCAGTATATCTCCCCATGCTGTTGTCACCCTGTTGTAAGTCCAGTATATCTGCCCATGCTGGTGTCACCCTGTTGTAAGTCCAGTATATCTCCCCATGCTGTAGTCACCCTGTTGTAAGTCCAGTACCGGTATATCTCCCCATGCTGTAGTCACCCTGTTGTAAGTCCAGTATATCTCCCCATGCTGTTGTCACCCTGTTGTAAGTCCAGTATATCTCCCCATGCTGTGGGTCACCCTGTTGTGAGTCCAGTATATCTCCCAATGCTGTTGTCACCCTGTTGTAAGTCCAGTATATCTCCCCATGCTGTTGTCACCCTGTTGTAAGTCCAGTATATCTCCCAAGCTGTTGTCACCCTGTTGTAAGTCCAGTTTATCTCCCCATGCTGTTGTCACCCTGTTGTGAGTCCAGTATATCTCCCCATGCTGTTGTCACCCTGTTATCCCCCTGGCATGTAATATAGTCAAAGCCTCGTCTGTCTGTCTGTCTGTCTGTCCGTCCGTAATTATTTTGTTTCTGGAGCATAACTCAAAAACGGTTCAATATTTTTTCCAAAAAACTGGTACATATATATCAAACAGAACCTAAAGTGGTGCCTTTTGCTATTTACAGATTTTTGTCATTTATATTCTCGGTTTCCATGGAAATGAGTCGGACTTAGTCTCAAAAGGTAGGGGTGGGCTTCGTTTCCGAAAATCGTTCAATATCTTTCAACAGAACTTAGCAGATATATGAGATATACCCTGAAGTGGTACCTTTTCCTATTTGCAGATTTTTGGCATTTATATTTTTCATGATTTCCATGGAAACGATTCGGATTTAGTCTTAAAGAATCAAGATGGACTTTAAGTATCTGTCAGATGATCTGTTCTTTCAAGTATGCAGGGGCCAGGGGGATTTGTCATCTTCTGATGACTGTTGTTGTGTATAACTGCAGGGTGGGACAGGGAGTGAACAAGCCCAGGCCTTGTTCATGAGGCTCCATCTCCTGCAAGGAGTCATGGCCTTCCACCAACATCGAGTCAAGGTTGCAGCCGAACTCTTAAACCAGGTAATATAGCTTTAGTTCTGCTTTATTCAGTTTACATTACTGTTGGATTTTCTACACTCAATATTACAATGGGAATTCTCTATTGAAGTGCTGATATATACGTGCCACAGGGTTTTAGATCCTAAAACTCACCACTTCTGATCAATAATTGCCCAGGTAACGGATTGTTTCCCTCCTAAATAATCACATGTGCTGTGGTATTATGGAGTATCTTTTGTGTCTAAGATCTTTCTTGCTATTACATACTTGTCTGTTACAGGCTGAAAAAGAGTTGAAGTCTTTACAAGTGGATGAAAATCTCATCACTGAAGGTGAATATAACTAAAGTCACTCAAATTATTTTATAGAGGGTGGAGTTGATCATTGAACTGATAGTGATATTCATGGTTGTAAGATTGGGCTCAGTATTCCTCTGATGTATACTTGCATTAAATCAGAATGTTATAGGCTTCCCCAAAACAGGAAGTGTTGGACGATCCTCCAGTTGCAAGACATTTTTGTTTCAGTGATGACTTTTGGCTTCAAGGAGAAGGAATCTCGACTTGCTCTCAGGGCATGTAAAGGGGATGTCCAGCAAGCCGTGGACCACATCATCAACAGGAGGAAGGTACATTCAGTTTAACAGAGTGTCAATCCTGAAGAATTTGTAACAAAGCATGACATCCAGAGTGATCAAATTGATCTCTAAGTTTGAGATCTTATATCTGAAGATTCTTTGGTATTTTGACTTTTTTAATTTCACTATTGCATCCACAAATGAAAAGACCTGGATCAGTTTTGAATTGTGCAATGATAACAGTAGATATAAGAGATAACATATGACAGTTTGTCTTCTTCAGGAGAAGAAAGATATGAATATGAAGCTGAATCAAGAAAGGAAAGAAAGGATGAGAGCCAAAAAGTTTGGGAAAACTGCAAGTGGGGAGTGGTCAGTACTGGTCAATTACTGGAGTCAGTAAACGATATGGAACGATATGTCTCTAATCTGGTATGTTTCATGCAATACGTACAGATTAATGCTTGACCTTAGAAACCAGGCATGAAATTCCAGGTGTCCTTCTTGTAGCTCTCATGGAAAAACTTACAAGTCTTTATGTTCCCTACATACAAGCACTACAGGATCATCCTCTTCCACTAAACAACTTGATCCCTAAAGTGATCGACAGTTGTTAGATTTTAACCTTCCATCTTTGTCATGGTTGACTACATCTTTCATGATACAGTCTCAACTGAGGTCAACCTTAACTTATGATTTACTGTCATTTGTTTAACACAGGAGTATTCGTGAAACATGTATTTCTATTTATATACATGTATAAGGGTTCATGAATAAACTATTTTGATTCAGTCGTAGGTTTGTTTTAAACAGTACATCAAGTGATGATTTCAGCAGACATATGATGTACAAACACACAAAGTTAACAACTTTTGGAATCTGGTGTAATTAAGATGACCTTATTCCAGCGTTTAAAATTCCTGCCTGCCCGACGGTCTATTTTCATCTCGGACGGTCATATTTCGAAAGTAGCCTGTCCGGTGGTCTGGTAGATGTTTTTACCCCAAACAGTAAATATTTCATAATATCAGACAGGTTCTCTTGCCATCAGTTTGAGGTTTTTAAGATATTATAATAATTATGTTAAACTATTTACGATTGGACAGTTCATTTTACAATAACCAATCACAACACATGTACTTTCAGTTTACCTAAACTCGGAGCATTGCCTGTTAGTGCTATGTTGTTCATTGCGATGCCTACATACAGTAAAGTATTCAGAAACCTGATTATTTTTTTTCATTGTTGAAAACTGGACAGGCAAGTTTGTATCCGGACTGGTAAGTTTTTAAAGTTACCAGTCCGGCTGTCTGGCTTGGAATTTTGGGAGTTTTAAACACTGCTTATTCTAACCCAAATGGTTATGATTACTTTAGCAGAGGTTGTTTTGTGGAAGGGGCCAAGGATGCTATGTAAGTTTCAGATGCGGCATTATTGCATTAAGCGTGTGATGTAAAATATGATGTCACAATGGCAATACTTCAGCCTTTTGAGCAGCTCTTGTGAGGGACAGTTGTGTTCACAACAGTAGTGGAAGGATCAGCTTACCTCGAAGTCATGTCTAGCCTCCTGTGTAATAACAGACATTAGACATTCTTCATTTCCACTGACCATCTAAGGGTTGAGTTTCATGTTTGTACTCATTTGTCAAAGGATAATAGTCACAACTGTATTAAATTGTGATTTTATTGATGAGATTGAAGTATGTAATATTGATGTTTACACAGGCTGAACATGCAAAACATGGACATGTTGGTTGGTATGGGGTTTGGCACTGGTGCTGCTGCGGAGGCTCTCAAACAGGGTAATAATGATGTCAACATGGCTCTGGAGGTGAGTCCTTACACTACACTCAGCTTACACATCTTCCTTGACATAACACTGAAATTGTGCTCATAAATATGAATATGGAAAATAAAAGCTGATTTTCTTTTATATGAAATGCATATATCACTTTAAAGACAGCACATTATATATATTTGGGGAGGGTCACTTTGTAGACAATTTCTTGGGTAAGTAGATCTTGTATCATGATATGTACATACAAACATATATCTATCACTTATATCAAAAGAATTGAATGTGTTGATGATAATTTGTCATGTTTCTGCTCTAAAGATTCTACAGACTCATCCAGAGCTGTTTGAAATAACTGACCCAGAGGACGAGTGGGAGGATGTGGATGTCACAGACGATATGTTGGCTCAGGTAACTAGTCTAGGTGTAGCTGGTACAACAGAGTATACTTGTATGTTGACCACCAGAGGCATGTTGGCTCAGGTAACTAGTCTAGGTGTAGCTGGTACAACAGAGTATACTTGTATGTTGACCACCAGAGGCATGTTGGCTCAGGTAACTAGTCTAGGTGTAGCTGGTACAACAGAGTATACTTGTATGTTGACCACCAGAGGCATGTTGGCTCAGGTAACTAGTCTACGTGTAGCTGGTACAACAGAGTATACTTGTATGTTGACCACCAGAGGCATGTTGGCTCAGGTAACTAGTCTAGGTGTAGCTGGTACAACAGAGTTTACTTGTACGTTGACCACCAGAGGCATGTTGGCTCAGGTAACTAGTCTAGGTGTAGCTGGTACAACAGAGTTTACTTGTATGTTGACCACCAGAGGCATGTTGGCTCAGGTAACTAGTCTAGGTGTAGCTGGTACAACAGAGTATACTTGTATGTTGACCACCAGAGGCATGTTGGCTCAGGTAACTAGTCTACGTGTAGCTGGTACAACAGAGTATACTTGTATGTTGACCACCAGAGGCATGTTGGCTCAGGTAACTAGTCTAGGTGTAGCTGGTACAACAGAGTATACTTGTATGTTGACCACCAGAGGCATGTTGGCTCAGGTAACTAGTCTATGTGTAGCTGGTACAACAGAGTATACTTGTATGTTGACCACCAGAGGCATGTTGGCTCAGGAAACTAGTCTAGGTGTAGCTGGTACAACAGAGTATACTTGTATGTTGACCACCAGAGGCATGTTGGCCCCCAGTAACTAGTCTACGTGTAGCTGGTACAACAGAGTATATTTGTATGTTGACCACCACAGACATGTTGGCTCAGGTAACTAGTCTACGTGTAGCTGGTACAACAGAGTATATTTGTATGTTGACCACCACAGACATGTTGGCTCAGGTAACTAGTCTACGTGTAGCTGGTACAACAGAGTATACTTGTATGTTGACCACCAGAGGCATGTTGGCTCAGGAAACTAGTCTAGGTGTAACTGGTACAACAGAGTATATTTGTATGTTGACCACCAGAGGCATGTTGGCTCAGGTAACTAGTCTATGTGTAGCTGGTACAACAGAGTATATTTGTATGTTGACCACCAGAGGCATGTTGGCTCAGGTAACTAGTCTACGTGTAGCTGGTACAACAGAGTATATTTGTATGTTGACCGCCAGAGGCATGTTGGCTCAGGTAACTAGTCTACGTGTAGCTGGTACAACAGAGTATACTTGTATGTCATCTCAGAGAGCTAGTGAGTAATAGTTCATGCAGATCTCAGTATTCCTGGTAACAAAATTGGGATCCCAGGGAGATGTTTGTTCTTGTAGAGTGCAATGATGAAACTGTAAACCTCTGATCATTTATGGATGATCCTTACATAGTTCTATATGTATTTTGTATTTATTGATGATGTCTTCTTTATGGCCCGGAAGTTTAATGTCAAAGCATTCACAGTTCATATGTAGCTTTCCTGTTTCTACTCAAGTGGATCATTCTCAGCCCCCAGTGATTGCAATTGATGTTTTTTCAAGTGATAAAATTGCAGACACCTTTTCCAGCTAACAGCCTTGGGTTTTGAGTTGGAGATGGGCCGTCGATCACTGCTGAAACACAAAGGGGATGTTGAGAAGGCTGTTGATGACCTTATCAGATCTGGGGGCTTTATAGCCCCCAAGGCCTCCAAGCCAGGTACCACATGCTTGTAGAATAAGAAGTTCTTGTCATTAGTCACAGAAGAATATTCAGGGTCACCACGAGAAACACTTGATAGATTCTTAGGAAAGCAAATAAAATATGTTGATGATTTTGAAGGGGGCCATGAAAACAATTATGTAATGTAAATAGATAGGTTTGTAGTCACTAAGTGAACTATTAAGGCATTGCAGTTTTTGGATGACATGTTAAATATATCAATAGCTGACATTGTTGTGACACTAAACTTTCACTGGTTTCACTTATGTAATGATTGTTAAATTACTGATATTCACTCATATCTAATAATTCATCATTGAATTGATTGTGGAAAATACATACAGTACAACAAGAAATTATTGAGAATTTAAAGATTGTAAAAAATTTTTATTTCTTTCACTCATTACTCACGTATTAAATGTGAATATTAGCAGAACATAACTCCAGATTCAAAGACAGGTGAACAGTTAGTATTTTGTCAAGTCACCATGGGCAGCAATGCAGGCTTCAATGCGGCAGGGCATACTACTGATCAAAGAAGTTAGAATGTCGTGGTCCATGCTGTCCCAATATCGGACCACCTCTTCTTTCATTTCAGCAATATTTGTCAGATTTTTCGTATTGACACTTTCCTTCATAAGTCCCCAAACATTTTCCATTGGATTTAGGTCAGGGATATAGCTTGGCCAATCTAATAATGTCATATTTTGGGTCTGAAACCAGGCCTGTGAATGCTTTGAACGATGTTTTGTGTCATTGTCCTGCTGGGAAAATCAAAAAATTTCCATAGAACACGTAAGAAGATGGAAGTAAATGTCCCTCGAGAATATCTGTGTACCGCTCACTGTTCATATTCCCTTCAAATACACAGAGGGGCGTTGCCCCTAACACAGATATGCCACCCTACACAGTGTCTTCATTATGGGAAGGTAGATTAACTCATAAAACCAACACTGGGGACTTCTTTGAGAGACATTTGTTTTCCTTCATCACTGGGTCTCACCTGTTTTGATTTTGTTTGCCATTAAAACTGGTCATACAACTTGTACTTATCTAAACCCGAGACTCCATGCTTCAGGTCCTTCCAGGAACAGAGAGAATCCTCAAGAAAAGAAGGAGATGGAAGCTCTGGACAATCTGATGTCTGACATTTCCAGGGACGAGGAGGACTACCTTGACCTCACATTGAAAGAGGAATCTGAGATTCTCTGTGAATACAAAACCATGCTTGCCAGTCTGGATGTGTCATAGATACATATCTGGGACACATATATGTGACAAGTCATTTACAAAATTTGTTTGTATTCATTCTAAAGTTGCATTATTTAAAAACCTTAATTGAATTAGGCCGAATTAGTTTGAAATTATTAAATATCAAGAATGTGAAGAGGTGGCATGATCTTCCATGGCCTTCCTGAATGGGGTGATTAGAACAAAAGGTTAATCATCGGCTTATGTTTTGTGATTAATTTGTCAGGAACTTACAACTCTCTGCACAGTACAAGCAAAGCCAAGGGTACTGACTGGATCTAAATGAAAAGTGATTCTTAATTCAGCTTACAGTTTCTTGACTTTTATTTGCAAGACTACTGGCAGTCATCAGAAACCAGACCAACATGGTTGAGCTTGATTTGTGATGTATTTTCAGTATGGGTGCATGATCAAATGAAAAGGCAGCTATTCCTACTTGACAGTTGAACATTTAATCATTCAATCCTTCAATCAGAAGAAAAAATGTGTGATGATAGTTTGGGAAGGTGGTAGTTTCAATAAATCAGTTTCTGATCCATATGGTTCAAGATTTGGTGTCTGTATTCACTAGAACAATTCCCAACTTGATCCATATGGTTCAAGAATTGGTGTCTGTATTCACTAGAACAATTCCCAGCTTTTGTTTCATAAAACAGTACAAACTTGTGTAATGACCTCCATCACGAAGTCCATGATCTGAACATCAGTAAACATCAATGATGACATTAGGTTCAATATTAAGGTGTCCAGGACCCAAATGTGAAAATATAGAAAATAAAGATAAAGCCCTATATGTACAGAAGTATGTATCTGTATTGAACAAACTTTATGGATAACAACTTCTTCTTGTATGTTTTCAAAGTTTCTTCAATATTGTACTTCCCAACTTTTGCCACTCAAAGACGTATGTTTCTGGTTGTGAAACCATGGAACCATTTATGTGTATTATTGAGTTTCTGACTATTGCGTTACTAAGCCAATTGAAATTCCCAGCAATCAATAAATTCATTGGAACAGAGTTATACATACATCAGGCCACGATATTTCAAATATAGTGTGGTTGGTTTGTTTATTGGTTGTGGATGTGACATGTTTGGGATATACAACGAACCATGATTCTACATGGTTTGTGCCGATTGATTGGACAGTAAGTTTCCAGATATCATGCATACATGTACCTACAAATTGTGTTTCTCATATTTAAACTGTGACCATTTGATTTCACAAACAATTTTATTTCTTGTTTGGAAAATTTAAATGCCTATAAGTATCATCCTTTTGACAACAAGACCATTTAGAAAGACTTCCTGCAGGGATTTTCTAAGGTTGGTTTGTATGTGACGCACAATGTATTAATGTACCTATGCAAATGTCTTACATCTTAATGTATTTTTGTTTATACCTCTGTCCAGAATAGTTGATAGGAGCATATTGATAATAAAACAGACACACCTGATAAATTGTTTTTGTTCTTTTGCTTTTAGCGCTCAAGGACCAAAGATAAGATGAATGGCAATATGTCAGTTAAATGTTACCAACATGTACATTCTTTCTGTACATTGATAAAAACATTCCAGAACGTCACTGAGGGCAAAATCCTCTACATCCTCTGCACATCTGAGATAAATTTTTATCTAACATTATATACCGTTTCCATGTTTTCTTTTCTCAATCTCTATTCAAAGAAAGTCAAATGTTCATTGTTTGTATCAACATTATTTTGTATATACTTTCATTGACATCAAAGAGTTCTATAAACAGCAATAGATATACAAGTAAAAACATATACATACTAACAAGACAAGGAGGAGATAACACTTGTGAATGAAGCATTGAAATACTATTTAAGTTTCATAGGTTTTCACTTCTAGATAACATAAACTGCGTCCTGTTGATAGGTGATTTTAGCTGTCCAGATATACACCATTTTAGGCGCCACGTCGGATCTCGGGGCGTGATGTACAGCAATCAATGTTGGACATTGCAGGAGACACAAACAGCACACAGATTCATGCCAATCTCACCGGGAAACGGAATCTTTTCGACATTGTCCTCACGACTAACCCATCAATAGGGAAGTCAAGGTGGTAACATGTGGGTGCATCTATACATGACACAGCGTTGGCCGATTTCCACACATCTCCTCAGGGTCATAACATAATCATTCCAAAGAGTGTTATAAGTTCTCATAGATGTACTGTGCCAGCATTCAGGAGGACAAGATAAGACTTTGATATTATGACGATTGACGGAGATTGGTGTACAAGCACTAAAGTGATATAGATTCAGTTTAAAACAAGTCTAACAGCATAAACAGACTAACATATTCTATCTTAGATGCTGAAACATTAGTGTCTCTGTCTGGTTCAACAGAAACTTCTTCGTCTTAAAGCACGACTATATATACAAGCACAGAAAAATCATACCTGGTCAGATTATAGATTCTCCCTGATAGGAAGAGCAGAGTGGTCTCACATTAACTGGTGTGTTTTTTTAAAATGGCACATCATAGAAGGTAATGTTGAACATTACTTAATCAAAAATAAAGCAAACATTTTGGTTTAGCGGTTCAGTTCTGTGTTTATCTGGGGCAAGCGCACCGGTTTACCAAGAATGACTAAGCTTGTCCAAGACACCATCAATAGCTGAACCCTATGATATTAAGTTAGCACAAAATCCAGCCACGGTGTCCTCACATACACACAGTGTTCCTTTCACGCCATCGCCAACGAGCCTGGCTGACTGTAGACAGCAATCTGACTGTACTCTGAATCTTGCCGTCAGTTAAAAGATTGGACCCATCACAGTTGTCATTGATATTATCTGACCATAGACAGAAGCTATGTAGTTAATGTGGAAGTATCTAGCTGGGATTTTACGAACATGGTACTTAAACATGTTCCTGTTAGAAATAGCCGTGGTCATAGATGGTCCATCAGTTTTCAAACCTAGCCATTAAATTGACCCAGAATGAACCCAAGAGGCATTTCCTATTTCTATACTTCCCTTCAAAAGTTTAGACTCACTACATGTTACGGATACATATGGTTACATCGAAGATTGATTTTGGGGAACCAACTGCAAACCTTATGCAGATGAATTGCACGAGGATCATGCATCAAACTGCTGAAAAGCATGTTCAAATATCGCGCATGTGAACAGCTGCGGTTTGGTGTAAAGTTTTGTTAAGATTTGCCAATTTTCACTGATTTTGATATTCATTGAACTCCTGACAATAATCATGTCAACGTTACGAATTTGTTTTACAATACATCAGTTCATGTGTAAACACTATGGCTCTTCTCCTTCTTATGTCTTCACTTCTCAACCAACTGTCTTGTAAATTTGGTGAACACACGTGAAGCTGATGTCAAACCAAAGGGAGGCACATGGAATTTGAAGGTGTCCTGTCTGAGCAAACCACGAGAATTAATATACAGTATGCGGGGTAACAATGTCACTGTTCGTGTCAGTCATGCAGTCATTTACTCATTCCTCCTAATTTCACACAACACTTACAGTTTTCCCAGGAATTATTGAGAAAATCTCTGTTTCCTAATACTGATAATAGAACTATAAAATAGGTGTTACATTATGTAGTAGGGTACTCAATATGGGAGGCAACTCTTGTAGACTTAAGAATGAATAACCAAAGAGGACTTAGAAATATTGAGGATATGAAGAAAGAGTGAATAAGTGAGTTTAGTTTTACACAGCACTCAGCAATATTCCAGCTATATGGCGGCGGTCTGTAAATAATCGAGTCTGGACCAGCCAATCCAGTGATCAACAGCATGAGCATCGATCTGCGCAAATCGGAACCAATGACATGCGTCAACCAAGTCAGCGAGCCTAACCACCCTATCCCGTAAGTCGCCTCTTACACAAGCATGGGTTACTGAAGATTCACCTTCACGGGTATATGAAGAAAGAAGTGGTCGAATATTGGAATATGCTGTCACACGATTTCCTACAAACTTTGATCGGTAGTGTACCTACTGTCCACCCCCGCAGTTTATTGGTCAATATCTATTGGTGTCAGGTTGTCACCATATCCTAGCAACCTCGGAACAACCTGTTGTTTTCAGACGTTTATTGCGCTTCAGGAGCCTTGCAGTTTCTGAAATGATTGAAGTTACATAGTTCTTTGATTTTGGATAGTTAAATGGACTTGACTGAGTGATCAACATTTTCTTCTTTGAAATTGTGTTGAATCTCATTGGTTGGTTCAGTACTCAAAGAAGCTGAACTTTGGAGTTCATAACCATGAACGAAGCTCAAAGGCTTGCCACTTCCCCCATCCTAAGGATGATATATACCCAATATCATCTTATCACACGTCTAGTTTTAAGCCTTGCCATTTCAAGCCAACACTTCCTGGGTCAGTCCCAGTGTTACCCTTGTAGATCAGAGAATAAACTGAATGTAATGTTTGTATAGCGAGTTTTTCTTTTTAGACAGATTCACAGTACTTAGCTGTTTTGAATATTTGGAGAACTTGAAAATGGCTGATTAAATATGATACGTTTTGATTGAATGAACTGATCCAAGCCAAGATTGTTCAAACCGTGACAGCCCCAGCAACAAACCTCCCTTTGCGTAGGCCTTTACATGATGTATGTTTCATGTATCAAATGTAGTACTCAGGTGCCATTCCCTGTATACATGTAGTTGTGTTTAGGTTGTGCATCTCGCCATATCTGCAGTTTGGTGATTCCAAGGACACCAAATAAAAACAGTTGCCAGTGTCCTTCATTTATAGCAAGTTTGCTATTATATATAACCAGTTTAAAATGTAAAATTGTATGCATGTGTTGAAACAGTCAAAGACAATAGTACATGTTAATGAACTGAAGTTCAAACACGTGGACAATAAGCAGCGAGATCACCTCAATCTGAGAGTATCTCACCAAAGCTGGAAAGCCCAGAAATCATCAGAACAAATTCTGTCCCCAAATACCCCCGACTCTCAATAGCCTGCCACCGTCATCTCATACTCTGGACGGTTGCAAGGTGAAGACCGTTCTACTTATTTCCTGTTCCTTTGCCAAATGTACAGGGCGTTGAGTAGGATATTTACAGCTCGCTCCACGTTGGATAGCTCTATGACCATCCAATGGACAATGGTCTCCTACTCAAAGAAGGCCTTCAACAACCCTAGCGCAAATAAGTCATGGATTATAGTCCTTGAGGGTGAAGATCACGACAGCATATGGTCTCACGTACATGGTATATGGTCCAGTATGCGATCCCTGTAGCGCACAGACTTGTCACTTGTGTTCGCTGACTTGGTTAACACATGTCCCAAATACGTAGGTCGATGATCACTGGATTGTCTGGTGTAGATTCGATGATTATTTACGGAACGCCACCATATAGTTGGAATATTGCTGAGTGCGGCGTAAAACTAAACTCACACGCACTCGTGGACACAAAGATCGGTTGTTATACCTTACTGATCCCACTCCCAGTCATGATTGCGCCCTTTCCGAAGAAGTCATGCTCGTCCACGTTGGAAATGTTTCTCCTCGTCTGCGCTACACTGGTGCGCGACAATCTGTGATTCCAGGTAGTCTCTGGATTCATCAGCGGAATGTATTAAATCCCAGTCCACTTCCGTCCAAATGACGTAACACAGAGAGGGTACAGGCAAGTTCAGTTGTTTCAGTCCTCAAAAGCAATGTTGTTGTGCTCTTATTCTGAACAATTCGGTCATGATCACTGCTACAATACTAATGTTCATTTGTATGATTATTTTAACCCTTCGGAAACATACATTCATTTTAGATATGGCAGACAGACAGACAGACAGACAGACAGAAACAGTTTATTATAGTGTCACATGTTAAACATCAAATTATGATGAGCAATTAAAATAATGTTTAACATCCGGCCATATCCTGGCTTATGAGACACTAGCATTTAAAACATATTTATAACACATAGGTAAAAAAATAAAGGTGTGGTATAAAACGGGTAAAATAATACCCGAGAAAGGAATATAGGGGGTGTGGCGGGAGTTAAATGAATATTTGTTAAGTATGTTGACAAAATCAAGTTGCTTGCCGATTTTCAGAACAGTGTTAAAAAACGATTTTTTCCTTCTTTGTAACTTCTAAATTCCTGCATGGTAATCCGTTAGTCTCATTTCTGTTCATATTCAGAAACCATCTAAAAGCTTAGACTGCCATCCCATTTCTCCTCGAACAGGGCAGTTTGATGTACAACGTGAAACTCCCAGGAGGAATCTGCAAGCTCTGTTCTGTATATTTCTCGGTGACTGTAAAGACCCTGTATTGGAGCTCCATAGAACAGAATGGGCGGTACAGTAGTTTCATAAAGTTTAGTGAAAACGTCATAAGCCATGTCCCCACATCTGTAATACTTAGTTATCATTGAGGTTAGTGCAGGTCCAGCACTCGTGGCGATTTCCTTTACCGTATACTTCATGTTAAGGTGATATGCAGTTCGATCAAAACCAAGCATTATATGCAATATGTTACTGACATTGAGTAATGTGAAGTTTCAGTAAACTGTTATAGCATGTTAACTTGGAAAATCAATTGATTTCAGTGGATATCAGTTGTAAGATGTGCAAGTTTGGACAAGTACCTTATGGTTCATGGTAACATATTGAATAAAACAGGGTGTAGTGATTCTTTTCCTATGTGTATATCTTTTGCACACATTTAGGACGAGATGTGTGCCAGTCGGTATTGTACAAGTCAAATGCGTTTGGAATTCATCTAGCAAAGGCGAATTTGGGGCCAATTCCGTTTCTGTATGACACGCTTGTCATCAAATCCAACTTCATGCCCGTTACCTTGAACAGTTGTGTTGATGGGTCCCTTTTCGTGGACGATTTCAATATTTCATGTCGTGGTAAAAACATGCACGCAATAGAAAGGCAGCAACAACTCTGCCTTAACAAAATCCAAATATGGGCCAATGAGAATGGCATTAAGTTTTCAAAATCCAAAACAAATTGTATTCACTTTTGTCGTAAATACAAACCACACAAGGATCCAGACCTATCTTTAGATGGTACTCCAATCAAGGTAGTAGAAGAGGCCAATATTCGACCGTCACCTGACATTCTTACCACACATAAAAATATTTGAAAACCATTTGCTTGAAGGTTCTGGACTTACTAAAAGTCGTTTCAAATACAGAGTGGGGAGGGGATCAGACTACCCTCTTCACTTGTACAGATCTTTGGTTCGCTCTAAACTAGACTACGGCTCCATTGTTTATGGTTGAGCCTGCAAAAGCAATTTAGAAAAATGAGATTCTATCGACCACCAAGGCCTGAGGCTCTGCCTGGGAGCTTTTAGGACCTCTCCGGTAGACAGTCTATATGCAGAGGCTAACGAACCTTCCCTAGAACAACGCCGCATTAAACTTTCACTGCAATATGTCACTAAATTACATTCAAATCAGTCCAATCCAGCATACAAGTGTGTTTTCAAAACTTGTTTCCTAAACTGCCAAGCCTGGTTCCACCACTTGGAATCAGAATTCAACCACACATACCTGCAGCTAAAATTGATCTCAATATGATAGCACCTTACCGACCCCTGTCTTCACCACCCTGGCAGATGGTGAAACCACAGGTCGATCCTACCCTCACTAAACTAAAAAAGTCTGAAACAAATCCGTTGGTGTTCCAGCAGGAATACAACCAGTTACCCATAGATCCACTTTCACAGACGGATCCAAGGATTTTTGACTCTGCACTTACAATGCTTATTAATGCAGACTTGTTCTCGTCACTATATGGCTGGAATAATGCCGATGTGACAAAGCCCAACTCAACTCAACTCAACATGCACAACATGAATTCACTTTGACCACATGGTACGGTGACGGTAACTCCCATACCTTAACATAGACTTAAGGTAGTCTTAGCACTAAGGTGACCGTAACCCCCATACATTAACATAGACTTAAGGTAGTCTTAGCACTAAGGTGACCGTAACCCCCATACATTAACATAGACTTAAGGTAGTCTTAGCACTAAGGTGACCGTAACTCCCATACATTAACATAGACTTAGGTAGTCTTAGCACTAAGGTGACCGTAACTCCCATACATTAACATAGACTTAGGTAGTCTTAGCACTAAGGTGACCGTAACTCCCATACATTAACATAGACTTAGGTAGTCTTAGCACTAAGGTGACCGTAACTCCCATACATTAACATAGACTTAAGGTAGTCTTAGCACTAAGGTGACCGTAACTCCCATACATTAACATAGACTTAGGTAGTCTTAGCACTAAGGTGACCGTAACTCCCATACATTAACATAGACTTAGGTAGTCTTAGCACTAAGGTGACCGTAACTCCCATACATTAACATAGACTTAGGTAGTCTTAGCACTAAGGTGACCGTAACTCCCATACATTAACATAGACTTAGGTAGTCTTAGCACTAAGGTGACCGTAACTCCCATACATTAACATACACTTAAGGTAGTCTTGGCGCTAAGGTTGTTTTTTTACAACAGCACCCTGATCTTAATGGATGTTGTGATACATTTGATCAATAAATGTGCAGGGATTAATTATGCCATTTTGACAAACATGCCTGTGCATTCAACTGCACTGTGTAATAGTGTTGGGAATTGGATAAAATCTCATAATTGATGATTGGTTCATTACAACCGATCAATCATCGAAAATAATTGGTCAACATCATTTATCAAATTTTTCTGGTTATGTTTGTTACTGCATAAAAAACAAAGAAAAAACATGTAGTTCTTATGAGTCTTTTTGCAAATTCCACAAAATGCATGTGCAAATTTAACATCTTTAAAGGATGACTAGTATGTTCGGAACATAAATTTCCTGGAGTCTTTAAAGATAAATTCAATCCTGACTTGGAACGAGCTTGTAATGTTTATGACATGTAACAGACAAAACCAACCTTGTGAAAAATATTGTTAATGCAAACAAGTGTTCCAGAATTGTTTGTGTTCGATTATGAGAAAACATGATCGATTGCTTGGTCGTTTAGTCACTGCGACCAATCTTCGATTATTTCAATTAATCGGACCACCACTACTGTGTAAAGCAGCCAACATTAAACCTTGGATAAATCTTTTCTTCAGCTGAAATTGTATAGAAGATTCTGAAAGCTACACAGAATGTTTTACATGCCTTTATTGCACAACGACATGTACACAGTATATAACAGACAGATCTAGAGAGGTGGAAGTTGGCAGGCAGATCTCTCCTAGTAGTGGACAGTCGTACGCACGTACGTGGACTAGCATGTAATGGTAACCACAACCTAGAACGTTAGTGACCCTACTGAAGCAGCAGTAGTACAAAAGGCTGGGTTGCTTCTGCAATCACCACCGATACCTTCCTTTCAACTTCCTTCATGCTTGCCTGACATAACGGGAAACAATCATCCTCCTGTTAGACAAAATCATGTTTATTCCATGCAGCATCATAATTTCTTGCTTCAACAGTTTTGTAACATATATGGAGATGATATTGCCTCTAGGATTTCATACAAATTTGTAACATGTCAAGTGACAAGTAAAGTGGAAAAACGTTCCTGCTTAATAATGCTTACAAATAAAACTGGCCATTGGAAGAAGAATGTCTATATAATACTTCAGTTGTCACTCCAACTTGCTTCAGTTCTCCAAAAGCAGGCCACACCCAACCCTTCCCACCTCACCCGGTATCCCTCACCTCAATATCATTTTGATTAAATACACATAATCCAACTCTACACCTAAGCAGACCTTTTCCAAGATATTCTGAAATGGTCATTGTGCAAGCATAAGGTATTTGTCGTAAAAGTGACTTTATTGTGTTCACATAAGCAATGGTCTTAACTTAGAGAAGAAGCATTTGACACCTACCTACTGTTGAAGTTACCAAGCACTAACATACAAGCCAGGAACATTGACAAGCCCCCAAACCCTATAGCAGCCTGCTCACATGGCAAACGTACTTGTGTTCTCAACAACCTTAATCAGCAGTTAATCGGGGTCAGTTTCCCCGGTATTTATTTCTCAGAAAATAACGTCACAAAATAAAAGTACTGGTAGAACAAAATTCATAACACTTCGTGAAAGGTCACTCTGCCATCTGATGTCAAGTGTTCTGTTACTGGGAAAGTTCTCAAGAGCTCTAAATATCAAGTTCAAAGGGTTACAAACTGTATAAAGCTCAGTTTTTCCTAAGCAACTCTTTGGTTATTGTGATGTGAGTACAATCCTTGCAACCCTCATGTTATACACCTAATGATAAATGAAAGAACACAAGATTTGTCAGGGACACAACTGCAAAAATATTGTGTTTTTACAGGTGGTTTTGAAAGTTCCATGATCATGAGTGAAGGTCTGAATATGAACATCTCTAATAAAATATTGAACACAAGACCGGATTTCCTATCACTGTTAGGATATGTTGGATGTTTGATGGTGTTTCATCTTCTAGTCATATCAAACAAAAATACTAGGGAATCTTTGTTTAAGGATAAGAATAGGTGTGAAAAAGACACACACATATTTTTTATACTTTTGAAACTTGATAAGCATAGAGACATATAATTTGTTTCTCATTACTGCGTAGACAAAGCATTGTATTCCATGGTAAGATGACATGAAACATAGGAGCACCAAAACAAGCTAGCCTTTGCTCTTCACAAATTACACTTAGCAGCATTAATGTACAACCTAGTCAGCATGCATGGGAACATACTGTGAACGACCTTTGTATCTAATGGCAACAATAAAATAATCACAACAATATTACAAAGATTGCATCTAAACAAAGCTAGTATATATGTATACAGGAGTTGTTTATAAACAATATAAATAGATGTATAATGATATTTGATCCAGTGCTATGAAAAATAATAATAAAACCAGAGCAAATTCTCAATCAGAGTGATGAAAGACATTATCAGCTCTTCAACGAATTGCCTTTGATCATTATTGACTATCAAAGTAGATTATCTCAGAATAATTTACTGTAGTCTTTCAGAATACAAAAACATTCTGTAAACATGTCAGATTTGTCATGTTTCTGGATTGGTTGAATGTTTCCCCATTATATGGGACAACATTGACAGGAGGGGTTAGATATTCATGTATTATAAGTATATAAATTAACACTGGTAATAACCAAATGAAGTATCTTTTCAGCCTCAAATTTCTTTTATCTAGTCAAATGTATAATCAAACTTGATGAAAAACAACAGTAAGACAAATGACATAAGACAACAGCAGTTCATAGTATACTGTTGTAAACAGTGTGGAGGTGATAATTCTGCAACAATACTGAGATAACTCACCTTGTAATCTTCCAGTTTTCATTTAACAGCCACTAGCTTATTCAAAAGGCTGAGAAATAACAGTTGCGTTTCTCAGGCAAACACCACTGATTGAAAACATATTTGTGTTCTGTTCTTAGACAAAAGAAAATACAATACTGACACTCAGATATCAACAAGAGACATCAAAATTTCAAAAGTAATTTCCTGAGAACTGTTTGTTTTCATTTCTGCAGCCTTTGCCTGTTTGCGTTTCCATAAAATATACATCAAGTGATCACAATGATCAACACATGTGCCTTGTCTGGCATTACTTCACACAAATACAGTACAAGGTGAACAAATACGAGTATATTTCCTATTGCCTAAAGACCTCATACCAATGGATCATTTTTCATAATATGTTTAGCAACATCAAAACATTTGATTAAAATAAAACTATTCATCTTGATCAAAACCATTCTATCACAAAAACCACACTTACAATTTGATTAGAATCAAGTTAATAACCTGTGACTAGTGTTCCATTTTGGCAAGCAGATGAATTTGCCACAAGTCAAATGCTGCAACATGCCATCTGGGAGATGTGTGTTCTTGTTATAAAATGCAATTTGCCTTTCAAACATTGACACTACAAAAATAAACTACATCACATTATTTTCAGGATCAATAAATGCAATGTCCATTTAACAATAAATTGCTATGTTTGTAAGTATCTGACTTTGAAAAATAAAATTTCACTGATGTAAATTATCGGTTCCTCTGAAATGTACAAGGCATCAAAGATTCCACAAACTACCATAAACATACAGGAATTGAACATGTCATCGAGATATATGCAAAAACAAATGGAGTTATTATGTGCTTAATCATAGTATGACTTGAGTTACGTCCCTTTGACCACAAACCAGCCACCACACTAAAAGTACCAGTTTGGGGTATTTTGTACTTTTATGAAGACTAGGTATTGCCATTTAGAGTCACAATATTCCAACTGCATAAATTATTGACAATGCCAACCTAAAAAGATGATGTGGTACATGTAGTAGAGTGTGGAATCGTTGACAGCCTAGAATAGGCTTAAGTACAAAGTGCTGTTTGGTCCATCTATCTAAATGCTTTGAAATGTTTCGACAACAATGAATATGTACACAATGAAACAACCAAATAAACAGTTTCACACTATAACAATTGAAAACTAACATTCAGTCAGTTTAACAAAAATACAGAAACACACCCTTTGTCAACTGAAGGCTGAATAGGAAAAACAATACATGACTAAGGGGCTGATCCTCATTGAGACATACTTGTTCAATATATACAACATCGGTACTGTGACACAGTGGAAACATAGGAAGACATTAACTTGATCATGTGGGCCTTCAGTGGTACATGTACAGTAAAAACAGAATTGCAGTAACAATTGATTCTGGGGTGGGATTGTAAGCATTATTGCACATAGCAGTAATTCCATGACACAGGCATTAACTTGTTCAGTTACATTGGGGTATAGTTACTATTGTTCAACATCTCAAAATGGAAACATTTCGCATTTGTCCTACAATTGACAAAGGGCATGGTTTACTCAGGACTCAATGGACTGGCAATACAACAGGGGAAAAAACATTGACAAAAATAATAGTCTCTTTCATAAATATTGAGATTCAGCCTGTCTATAGGGCAAGACTAGAACACTGACAACACAAGACACTGGTAATCACCACAGCAATATTGGTAGAATATTTCATCTGAAATGGCAACAAGAATTATTGCAAATGCAAATGGGAGCTATATGTGTTTGTATATATATATATATATACTTGAAAACTTCCACAGTGAGTACAGCTTACAGCATCTATCACAATGGAATTGCCCTAAGTCATCAGATGGTGATGCAGTCTGACACTCATGACTTTACAAGAAGCACGAATGAAGTTAAAATAAATATATGTTCATTAGGAACATTGCTGCCTCAACAATGACTTCTTCATTAAACTGTTTTGTGAAAACTGCACAATGGTATTATTCCAGCCCAGTTCAGTATCCTGATTATCAACACTGCTATTTCACCATTCAGGCTTGTTGGGAGCTACCATTGGTTCAGCACATTGGCTAACCTACAGCTTTTTCAAACAACCTTCTCAGAAAGTTTTATGAAAGACTCAACACGATAAATGTAACTTAAATGCTCAGTCACTAACTCAGATATTGTCCTCCTACTTTTTCATCAGACAAACAGAAACAAATCAATACCTATCAATTCCATTATCAAAATAACTTTTATATATGGTCTGCTGCCATAAACATGAAACAGTATCAGTGGAGGATTTGATGAAAACATGACAGTGGCAATGAACAGAGAACAAACATACAACACTTGAGAATACCCTGTATATATCTACTAGTGATAAAGTCATGAGTGCCTTGGACAACCACTTAGGCAGAAACAGTTTCCACTATGGATTCCTTGATGATTTCACCAAAGTTGTCGCTGCCCTTTTTGTCATGTTTCTGAGACAAAGTGTGGTTTTCTTGGATATCTTTCTCAGTTGCTGCTGGAGTGCTGCTGACTTTCTCTGCAGAGAGTGACAAAGATGTGTTGCTTACACTGCCTGTCATACAGATGTCAGGACCTGACCCTACAGAGGAATTGTCATCTCCAGAGGAGGAACCAAGAGCACTGTCATATGCCAGATTCGAGTCCAGGGTTGATCGTTGGTCAACAAAATCTGGGTATGATGGTTCTGAGAGGTTAGGGGACTGGCCAAGGATTGCAGACTGAGAACTGTCTGAATCCAAACTGAAGTCAGTATAGATATGGGCTGCTGCTCTGCTGGCAGTAGTGACATTGCTTACATACCCTGCATCATGCCGAGCCATGTGAGATGAAATCAGGGGGCACTTTTGTGCCAACTGGTCTCTGGTAGTGGTTGTCATGGTTGCGTATGTGGACACATCTACTTCTTTAGATATTGGTGGCACAGAACCTAGATGTTTTTCAGCAGTGTCACTATGGTTTTGAGGCTGTCTATGCCAATTACCTTTGGTTTGTAAGTTGGGGTTTGAAGAAGCATTGAGGGGATTCAACATATCAGATATTGGCTGCAACTTGTACATGTGGTTTGAGGAATTGTTCAGATCCATGTATTTCTCCCGGCTTTGATTTTTGGGCACAAACGTCCTTGCTTTTGACACTGAGCAGAATTCCTGATTTGTTTCTTCATCCACTGTGCCTATAGCAGTGAGGTTTTGATATGACTTTGGATAATCTGTTCCCTCGACAGAATTGTCACTAGAGCACTCACTGGCCTCAGAATAGCTCTCTTCCTGCTTACTAAAGTGAAAGAAGTTTGTAGTGTTTTCTGCATGATAAACTTCCTCATCACTATCATTGAACAACATAACACGAGGCAGTGGACTCCCATTGGTCTGAGTGTGTTGCTGTGGCTGCTGCTGTTGAATGTGATTGGAGGAAGTAAATGTCTGCTGTGGCAGGAGTGACCTCTGCTGAGCATACCTAACCTCTTGCATCATAGCATTACACATCTCACTGTTCTGGCAGTCCCGACAACTGCCTTTCTCGTTGCTGTTGAACTGAGTCCAGTCAATACTATCATTAGAAGATGACATTCCGTTCATACTATTTGACCCCTCTCGAGAGCAGTGACCTTTAACACTTGATTCACATTCCTTCTTTTCTAACTCTAGACGCATGAGTGTGTGGATGAAATGAGTTCTTACACGGATTGGATTAAATTCAATTCTCCCTGCCACATTTCCACAGCCATCTTTACTGCATCCACATGGAAAGGATAGCCGATCAACCTGACACTGAATACCAGCCAGACTACATGCACATTTCTCAGGATCGCAAAACACTTTACAATCACACCCACAAACTTCTCTTGATACTCGGATCTCCCTACACTCATCCTTCTCCAGATTTTCAATCTTTTTCACTCCTGATGTGCGAAGCATGTTCCTTCGCTGTCGAATGGGCACAGGCTGCAGAAAATAGTAGTCATCAAATTCACTGTCCGACTCACTCCCTGATGAAACTTCACCATCTTCCAGCATAACTGTACTCAACAGCGGGCTAGGAAACAACTTGCCCTGGCGCCTCTGTTCCGCAATAATCACACGATGGATTCGCTTTTGTTCTTTGGCATAATCTCTTAAGCTGAACTTCTCAACAAAATTGTGTTTGTTGGCCATACCTGACGAAAAACACAAAAACTTTGTCTCAATATGATCATGATGAGTGAGTTTAGTTTTAGGCGGCACTCAGAAATATTCCAGCTACATGGCGGTGGTCTGTAAATAATGGAGTCTGGACCAGACAATCCAGAGATCAACAGCATGGGCATTGATCTACGCAATAGGGATACGATGACATGTGTCAAACAAGTCAGCGAGCCTGACCACCTGATCCTGTTAGTCGCCTCTTACAACAAGCATGGGTTACTGAAGATCAATTCTAACCCGGATCTTCACGGGTCAATACAATCATAATTCATTTCAAAGGACAATAAATTATTTCATGTCTAGCAAACCTCAATAAGAACTAACAAAATCAGTTAGTTTCAAATTCTTAACTCTCTACCCCAATGGATGAAGTTTTCTTTTTGGACACACATTTTTAGTTGTTTTGTTTGTTGTTGTTTAATGCCGCCATCAGCAGTATGCCAGCTACATGGCTGCGGTCGCCATCAGCAGTATTCCAGCTACATGGCTGCGGTCAGTAAATAACTGAGTTTGGACCAGGCAATCCAGTGGTCAACAGCATGAGCATCGATCTACGCAATTAGGATAGGATATGTGTCAACCAAGTTAGCAAATTGGACCACCCGATCCCGTTAGTCACCTCTTACGACAAGCATTGGTTATTGAAGACCAATTCTAAAAGGTCCAAAAAGTTAACGTTGTGTGAGAATTGTGCTCGTGCGGCACTGAATTTACCTACGGCTATGGAATTACACAGATATATAGAATATTAAATTTCCTATCCGAAGATGCAAATTCAAGTACAAATACATAGATGTGTTTGAAAAGTAGACATTGTCAAATGTTGTCAGCAATATTGTTATGCATTAATAACATAGTAAATTTCTCCACTTTTTATCGTAAACCAAAATAACCACAGTGCAATTATTTGTTTTATGTTGCATCTTTAGGGAAACTGAGTGAATAAAATACTGTCTGATATCTGAACAACTTAATATATGAAATGGATTTGTATGCTTATGTATAACTATATACATTCAATGTTTAAAAATGGCTTACGATAAATGACAAAAATTGATTTTCCTCTCTGACATAAAATGACGACAGTGAGGTCACACATAAAGATAGGGGGTGCATAACTCTGCTATACTTAATTGGAGTGTAGATGTAGTTTGACTAATGTTGGACCATTATTAACAGAGCAGCAGCTTTATCTTCAACTGTAATCATATTACTGAAACAATGACTCCACTTTACTTATGTCATGGGTGTACATGCATTTCCTAGTGTCAGAGAGAGACCACATTGCTGTGTAGATTAGTAGATATTTCACCTAAATGTCGTTCAAGGTATACAAAACCTCAGTTTGTCAGTCAGAATTTGACACTCTTTTGGCAGAGCATGAAATAACTGATTTAGCATTTGAGTAACGCCCTGAATAGGTAAACAATATGACAGTTTTACCATGTATCTCAATGTGGTCAACACACACTTGTTCGGTTTCAGTTTCATGTAAACAAAAGATTGTATCTGTCCCTCTGGCATCCAGAGGGTTAACTGATTCAATAATGCTTTGTCTTCATGTTTTGTCGAAGTGACTGTCAGTTCAACACAAGCTGTACAGCAGTACTGCTCACTCACTCACCTAAAGTAGATCCCCCTTCACTGGGAACACATGTGAAGCCCTGCATCCTGGGGAAGTAGAACACTGTGACCCCTTGGAAGGCCACTGCCTTCTTTGTCCGCTTTGTGGATTCTAAACACAATTATACATCTATGAATAAACACAATAAATCACACAAAACAATAGTAAATCCCTGCATCCATTTACAGCAATGCTGAAAATTGGTTAGAACCCTGAAAATATTCTACTTTATTTCTCAGACCCGGCTTGGCATGTGGCCATTGAGATGACAATTCACCAGTATTGTCAGTTCGATTCCTGTCACCTATATTCTCCATTAGAAAACAGTTCGGTTTCGTGGCTGTCAGACTGAAGAACTTTATTGACATTGTGCAAAACAACAAAAGAAATTGACAACCTACAACCAGCCTTGACTAGGCAAAGTTTTCAGCTATATCACAATTTGCATACAACAGTCATCAACAAGAAAAGCTTTGATCTCCAGAGAAGCAGCTCTCATCCAATGAAAATCTTTTTACTTCTGTTGACTGCATTTGACAAATGTGCAAGAGTTACTTCCCTTCTATTGATTAATCAGTATGTTGATATTGGCAATTTATTACTGAAGAAATATCTTTTTTTAATCAATTTATATTAAAATCTGGGAAAAATCAGTTTGGTTGACCCATAATACAAGAAATGAAATTTGTCTGGCTTAAATAAAATGAAATCATCTTAGATTTATGATGAATGAAATCTTGTTTGTGAATAGTGTAACAGCAAACTATAATTCATGCCTACATTTCTTATTTTCCAAAATATTAAGTTCATGAGACCTTTAGGGGCAAGGTTAGGAAGCAAGTGCAATGCAAAGTTTCTTTGGAAATGTAATTTAGGAGTTTGCAAGTATTTGCTAAAACAAAAGCATTTACATCATTACCATTCACAAGTGCCGGGTGCCATTTAAGAGGAATCCATGGAAGAAGAATATCAAAGCTTAGACTACAACAGCCACCCACCCAATTTTCTATGTTACTTTTTAAAATATATTTCACGCAATGTATTCATAGCCCTTTAGTTTGTGGCTAGTTGATATTCCTGGGGAATAGTATAAATTTCTCCCACTGTTTTAACAGTTAATTAAAAGGGCATTTTATGATTAGCCAGGCAAGATTTTGAGCTTAGTTCTATCCCAATTTACAAGGACAGCACATAATTAATTAATACGGAAAGTGCACTGTGAAGGGGGACAACAAATGGGCTTCACAACTTGTACCCGTGTGGGGAGCCGAATGCCCACAGACGCTTTAACCACTAGGCTACTGATGGGTGAAGGGTATTCCTAACATATCTTAAGTTAACTACGGTCAGTTTTTAAATTTCAAATTATTATTAATTTATACGGATTCAAAATTGCTATCAATTGAACATTTGTTTTCAATGGATATTTTCAGTTTGGATGCTATGCTAAGCCAGTGAACAAACACAGTTTTCATTCATCTGTGGTTCATTTTGGAAGCTAGACTTGAGTTGCACAAAGACACATAAATGCATACTAAAACATGTTCTGAAAAGCATGCTTGATAGCCATTTCAACTGAAAACTAAAGCAAGTTCTAATGAAATGAAGAACAAATAATAACAAAATTCTGTATGTCATTAACATGATAAGTATTAGCATGGTTAGATTTTATAAAAAAACAAACCCAAAACCCTTATGATATGCTTTCAACTTGCATACAAATGACAAAACAGAACGAAGAAATAAGTACAGATGTAATGAAATTAAGAAGTGGGTCAGGATTTGGCTCTCACTTCCTTTATTGGCCGTACCTTTCTTGGTTGTGACATCTGTGCTGCCATCAGTGCCCACGCTGCAGCTACTGTTGCTGTCATCAGTCTCGGATGTACGCGGTGGTGAGGACGACGTGCACGCCACTGCCGACGTCTCCAATTCCTCTAGCTTCCTCTTGGGCATGTTGGGACAGGTGTTAGCCCTGCTGGTACTGGCTGTCAGAGTTTCTCTGGGGCATGGTCTGAAGAAACAAACTACTGTCAGAGACAATCTCTCATCACCCCCACCTGGTCAGTTTAGTCAACTACTGATCACCAATGAAACGCAGATATATGAACTTATTTCATAAATTTGCTACCAATATGTTCAGTGTTTGACACTGATCCATTATCCAAATATTAGTACACCTATCTGGTGCACAGAATAGCCACTGGTCTGATTTTGAACACTACTGTTTGTTGTTCTTGTCAACAATCATACACGTAAATATTTTCTGTTTTTAATCGTCTTAAATGCAAATACATTTATAGTGCTTTCAAAAAAGTTTCGGAGATGATTCAACAACATACTGTCACTGGCCACCAGTCATTTGCATAGTCGACTAAAAAGATATATTTAATAATATAGCATACAACTTCTCTGATAAAATGTATTTTATCACCAAAATAGGTTGGTGAGCAATTCTTTTTGAAACAGTTTCAAAGAACAAATATCCATTATCTTGAAAATCAAAATTACAGAAACATTCTTCCAAATATTTTGGAAGCATAAAAGATATAAAATCAATATTCATTAACAGCAGTTCCACCACTTTTTAAGCCAGAATTTACCTGATTCACAGAAAAAGTTAACAAATAATAAACCTTGTTCAGTACTATTAGTATGTGATTAATACACACATCTGTGTGTAAAGTTAACCAGGTGTCATGCGTAATGAACACTTTTACTTGATCACTTTCAAATCCCTATTCTCAGCGTGTCAAGAAGATCATTTAACTTGTCTCAAGTTCACCTCAAGCAATCATTCAAAATTAGGGAAAGCAATTACCCACTTAGCAGACCAGAAAAAGCCTGTCTCTCCTGCCTGGAGAAATAGCACATAACATGCAATCACAGACTGATTCCCCAGCTTCTTCATAAGTCGATTAAATAATGACAAATATTGATAAGTGTTTCACCACCCTTCAGCTGTTTTGCAAGCCCCTAACGTGACAAAAGCTTTGTCGACAGATCACGCTAATTGACTCGGCCAAGAAGCGGAGATTAGATCAACCTACAACCTGCTTGTAATATTTAAACCAATGAGAATTAATTAACGGCAAAACACAGCGGCGGCAATGAACTTACCCACGTCGGGACTCTTGTATTAAACAAAATCAACACCGAAGTGCTCGAAATCGCAGCTTACTACACAAGTCTCTTAATCACACCGCTGTCTTTTTTCCTAGCGGCTTTCTACCGAGCAAGTCCATCTGCCCGTAGTCTTAAACTCCAGTATTTACAGGCAGTCTTGCTGGTTTCCATGGCAACGCATCCCATTCCACTATAATTTGACAGACTCGACTAGCTAGCCTCATTCAGCAGAGTCAGAAAATCAATACTGGCTCCCTGTCAGGGACTTTGTAGGGAGGAATGATCAATATTTATAGCCTGTTTCTATTTCTTCAATTAACTGGGGACTACCAACTTTCACAATGGACAAAAATTAATTTAATGACTTTGCTAGCAGAAATATGTCACCTCCCAGTTTCAGCAATCGTGTACTGAAATTACGACATTATAAATTTGAAATAAATACTTTAAGTTCTCATCTCCTCCCAAGTGAAATCTGATGAAGTTTTAAAGAACTTTAGACAAGCTTGATATAAGTAACATCCTTTTCACACTTGAATTCATAAATGTAATTTTGACGAATACTGACAACTTAAAATATTTTAGAAAATCCTTTTAGGGAGTAGACATCACTGCAGGCATGTAGTTTTCGTCTTGGTAATCAGAAGGATAAAGTCTGTTTCCATCAGTGAGAGCATAAATCGTGTCATCCAGAAGAGTGGGCAGCACTTCCAAATCCAATTACACCGACCAGGTCTGCCCTGACCAAACCTCGCACACAACCCATTGTCATACCAACACAATATTCACTGGAACATCTGATGGGGGATTTCTCAGTATCATTTTAAGCCTGGCAGTGTCAAGCCAGCCATAGTTTAATCACAGATTCATCTCTATCAACACACCATGCAATTAAGTCTTAACTGACAATACAATAGACAGTGCAACAAGAGATGACTAGTATAGTGTTCACACATAAAAACTGAACATCAAATCATATTTCAGTATGTATAGTAATGACATTATCAAACACATGTTTGAAACAAAGTCCTTGTGATGACAATATACTGGTTGAAAGAAGGCATGTCATGTGATATTACAAGAAAAAAGATATACCAGGATCACCTTTAAATAGGGGTGGGTATTGCAGAGAATTTTCATATTGCGATATATTGAGATGCGGAAGCATATATTGCGATATGTATTGCAATATATTGCAAGGATTATGTTTTTAACAAAAACTACTTATAATCGAGTTAATGCTTGATTATAAAGCAAAAACACAACAAAATCACTATGATTGATTAACCTTTTATAAAAACTCTTAATCATGACAAAATAAAAATTGAAGTAACATTTGGCACTAATGAAACAGGGAAAAGAACAATTAAAAAAACAGAAATATCCGAAGATTTCCGAGCGTTACGAAGTTTTCCGAATGCATGTCAAAATACCGGTTTTCGATCAGCGTATCGCAATACGTATCGTTTTCATGTCTGAACCGGTAAATACCGGTGTATTTCCTCATGAACACAGTACCATATTCACCATAATAAATGCCCTGAAGGATTAGAAAATGGACAAAGGTTGTTAACATACAAAAGTTCAGTTTACTCCACATAAGCAGTTCAAACATCTTTCATACTAGTTATACTGCAATTACAAACCCCTTCTAAACTTGTTTTTCAATAACAAAAAAAAAGCTGTAATATGCACAAAACATACAGATTCTGGAACAACATGTAATTAAATATGTTTCAAACAAATAATTCATAATAGCATATCTTAATACACTGTAGTTTTCCTGCAGTGAATGAATCTGGGTCTTGTTGTAACTATGGAAGGCACCCATAGAATGTACACCATTTCTTGCCAGTTTGTTCAGACACCAGTCACAAGATCACTTTAACCATTGGTCAATGTGAGTCAAGTTTATGACTGTCTACATCACTGTAACTAGGCACAAAGACAATTTGTTTTGGAAATGTTGGAATATGAATAACGTATCGAAATGGTAACATCAATCTCTCCCAAACTCGGTACATTTCATGGCAGGTGTCAGATGTAATAAGATGACCATATTGTTAGTTGATTGACATTCCAGCCAACCAATGATCAGAATATTAAAACTAATCAATGACAGCTTGGGGATTGTCATACTGTAAGCAAATTGAATCAGTACATGTTCTTGCTTGTAAATGCTTTTTGGGTTTAAAGTCTGCAACTTCTAATCATGTAGTGCGAGGAGAATGTGGTAGATACTCACTCTGTATAGATAGAAGTCTACAACCCGCCAGCCCCAGTGTCCGACTGTATATTTCACAATGACTTTGATTGAAGTTGTTATATGTGACATGTGACATGTGACAATCTTTGCTGTTTACAAATATTATGTTTGTTAATAATTTCAATGCCAATTATAAGAAATGTTAAATCTGAAATGTGTGTTTAATTTTATTCTATGGGTCCTGTGAATTTTCAATGGGTCAGACAGACATCTGAAACTTACAGGACCCAGTGTCCTGTTACTTTGAAACACCAGAGCTCCACATAAGATTTAGCTCATGTGGGTACTGTACCCACTGTATTTTTTGGGAGTGGGTATTATGAATGTTGAATGGGTATTTCATTTTCCGTTACCCACAGCTTTCAAATATGTGCATATTTCAGTCATTTTACTCACCTAAGTATTATGTCATTGAGTAAGTTTACTAAACAAGTATGTTCTGCCTTATGTCATACCTAATCAAAACTAACTTAAATATAATGGAAATGATTTCATAAAAAATCACTCATCCTATACTGACAGTTCAACACTTGTCATATACTAACAGTACAGCTTGATAGCAATCGATGTCTTTTTCATTACGCAAGCAATTTTTATAAATATATTCCGTACGCATTTGTTTCAAACTTTTTGCGCATCTAACATTTTAAATGCGTAATTGGTACGCAACAATTATTTTTCAACGTGTAAATGGAAATTTTCTATGCATATTTTACCCGGATATGCAGCTTATCTGGGCCTCTGAACACCATTCGTGAACACTGTATAACCGCTTATAAAGACTGTGTAAAATAGTGGTTAAAGTTACTTAATATGCCAGATTACCAATTTCCACAAAAATGGTTATTATATGTTGTTGCAATTGTCAGTTAATGTATGAACATGGTTTCGGTTATATTTGGGAAAGATAAAAAGTAGATTGTGCTGAAGCTTTTCTTTCAGTTTGTTTTCCGGTTTGAAATGTTCATTTGAACAAGAATGGCATACATGTTTGGTTAATTTTTCTCATTTTAACTCGCATATGCTTTACAATCAACCTTTTGAATCAGAATTTTATCTTTCACAGAGCTCCACATAAGATTTAGCTCATGTGGGTACTGTACCCACTGTATTTTTTTGGGAGTGGGTATTATGAATGTTGAGTGGGTATTTCATTTTCCGTTACCCACTACTTTCAAATATGTGTGTATTTCAGTCATTTTACTCACCTAAGTATATGTCATTGAGTAAGTTTACTAAGCAGGTATGTGTGTTCTGCCTTATGTCATACCTAATCAAAACCAACTTAAATATAATGGAAATGATTTCATAAAAAAATCATTCATCCTATACTGACAGTACAACACTTGTCCTATACTAACAGTACAGCTTGATAGCAATCGATGTCTTTTTCTTTACACAAGCAATTTTTATAAATATATTCCGTACGCATTTGTTTTAAACTTTTTGCGTTTCTAACATTTTAAATGCGTAATTGGTACGCAACAATTATTTTTTCAATGCGTAATTGGACATTTTATATGTGTATTTTACCCGGGATACGCAGCTTATCTGGGCCTGTTTCATTAATTACAGTACATAAATTTCGATTTGCACTTGCAAAATTTCGTTCACATTCTTTA